CCATCTTTTCAATCATGGAATGGTGGTTGGAGTGATCAACTGAATCATTTAAATAATATTAGTGATATTTTTGGACAAGGACGTTCTTTTGGTCCTTTAGGAAGTGATTTTGGTGGAAATAATAATAGTAATAATACAAGTGGTGGAAGTATTGGAGGGAGTGGAGGTACTGGAGGGAATAGTGGAGTGAGTGGAGGAGGTGGAGGTGGGGGAGTTATTGGTAGTAATGTGGTAGGTGGAGGTGCTTTTCGTTCTGCAAGTGTTACAAATCAACTTCAACAACAACAAGTTAGTGGTCCAGGAATTATTTCTTCTCCTTCAAATAATACAAATAATCCTCCTCCAGCAATTGGAAGTAATAATAATACTCCAGCATCTCAACCTATTGGTAAAAAAATTTTTTTTATTTTTTGGATAGGGGAAATATCCGCTATCAGTTGAGACAACTTAGTAGTGGAGGGGAGGACGAGAGGTGGAGTAAGAGGTAGTAATGTGGTAGGTGGTGCCTTGTTTTGTGTTCGATTCATGCCTGGTAGGTAGGGTTGACAGTTTGGAACGGAATCGACAATTCTTCATTTTATTTCCCCTGTTCAGTTCTGGATATCGAATAGTTTCCAAGAATCGACAAGCCTACTTGGTTTTTGTTAAATGATTGCTAACCTCAAATTTATAGGATCTTAAAAACTAATAAAAATTACCAATAATATTTTTACAAAGGTGCTGGAAGAAATGTTCAAAATATTTCACCTTCACAATCACAACAACTTCAACAACAACAACAGCGTAATGGTTGGTCTGCATTTACAGCTGATACATGGAATCCGTCTGCTATTTCTAGTAAAAAGAAATTTTTTTATTAAATTAATAATTTCTTTTAGGACGTCAAAATTAAATTGTCTCACAACAAAATAATTTTAAAAAAAATTGAAAGGACAAAAAATGAAATTGAAATGACTGCACTTCTCTCCTCTATTTTTCTTCGTCTTTTTACAAAAAAAACACGCAACAAAAAATATGCTACAATTTTTTTTATTATTTTTGTTTATCTGAGAGATTATGTTTGAGCGCCTTTTGTGTTTTTGCATTAAAAAATAATGTTTGTTTTTTTTCAATTTGAAAGGAAGTTTGGAGTAAAAATGGGAGAAAAATATATATGTTTTAGACGTTAATAATATAGTGTGTATGTAGTTGTAGTAGAGACCTATTAAAAATATAAAACTTGGGAATCAGAATTTGTAAAAACTTGGAAATCAGAATTTGTAAAAACTATTAAGACTTGAAAGATCAGAATTTGTAAAAATCAAAACTTGAAAACAGAAATTGTAAAAAAACAAGTTTTACAAATTCTGATTTTTATGTTTTAATTTGACATCAGAATTTGTAGAAAATAAAACTTGAATTAAAATCAGAATTTGTAAAAACTAATTTGTAAAACTTGAAATCAGAAATTGTAAAAATAAGTTTTACAAATTCTGATCTTTATATTTTAATTTTCATCAGAATTTGTAAAAATATTAAAACTTGGAATCAGAATTTGTAAAAAATTAAAACTTTAAATAAAATCAGAATTTTTCTTTGGTCTCTACTCTACATACATTTATAATTATATATTATGTTTTTTTAATATTTGCTAAAAGTGCTGCCCTTTTTTTTTAAAAAAGAAAAGGTTTGTTAAAAAATTGTTTTTTTGCTTTTCCTCTATTTTGCTTTTTTTACAATTTTGTGCATCACATATATTTAATTTACACCCATTTATTTTGCATCCCCTACACAATTTCCACCACAAAAACACACAAATATTTTTTTAGACTTTGTTTTTCTTTTTTTTGTTGTTTTAAAGAATTTTGTCAAATTATATAAGTATATAAAAATTATTTTGAGGGGATTTTCATAATTTTTTAATAAGTTTTCGATTTAATAAACCGAGGAAAAAAAATTTAAAAAATTTATTTCGTCTCTATTCATCTATATTTTTTATTTTTATTATTTTTATCAAGCGCTGCTACTATTATTCTCTAATTAATATCTTCTAATTAATTAAAAATTATCCAAAAATTATAAGATCCAAAAATTAATACATTTTGTCCTCATATATATTTTTCTGTATTTTGCCTTTATTTTTTTTTATTTTCTCAAATAATTAAAAACTAAAAAATTAAATTTTAAGTCAATTATAAAATACCACAAACTAATCAAATAATTAATCTTCAATTTTATTTTATAAGCTAAAAAATATTTGTGAAAAATGAGAGCAAATTATGATGATATTCTGTTAAATATTCTGATTTTTGTAAAATATTTTCTGATTTTTAATTATGATTTTTTAAAAATTCTGATTTAAAAAAATTCTGATTTTTACAAATTCTGATTTTTTAAATTCTGATTTTTAAAAATTCTGATTTTTAATTTCTGATTTTAATTAAATTCTGATTTTTTAAAAAATTCTGATTTAAAAAGATTCTGATTTTTTAAATTATGATTTTAAAAATTCTGATTTTTTTAAATTCTGATTTCTGAAAAATTCTGATTTATTAAAAACTTTTTCTGATTTTTAATTCTGATTTTATAAATAAACATCAAGTTTTGTTCTGATTTTCCTTCTTCCTTTTTGCTCTCATTTTCTCTTATCAGAATTGTGTTTTAATTTTCATTATTTTTCATTGCTCCTTTCAAACACTTTTTTGTGTTTTTTTCTTCAATAATCATCAGATAATTTTTACCGCTTAAATAATCTTTTATATATGTTGAGAAAGGTGTTGAATTGCTTATTATTATTTTTAAGGGGATTTTTTTTTGTAATGAAAAAATAATCCCGTGAATAAAAGTTTTGGATTTTGTTTGAAAGAAAATTTTTTATTTAATTAATTTTTTAATTAATTTAATTTTAGTATATTTATATATTTATTTTTATTAATTATGGGGCAGCAATATATTTTTAGAGGAAACAATAAAATCAGTCGGACCTCTCAGATATACCCTCAGGGCTTATAAGTATTAAATTGAGGGTATCGCTTGGGACCTCTATATCCAATGGACAATCGACTTTTAGAAAGTTTATTAGATAGAGGTTTATTCAATATTAGGTCTGTCACATATGGTGGGCTTATCACCTAATGTCAAATATATGTGTGCTTATAATGGGTGTACCTGGGGGTATTCTAATGAGTGACCTTGTGGTGTCCCCTAACAAATAAGTGCTCTCCCTCCACCGACTGGCATAGAGTGTACCATGGGGTATCAGCTGAGTGCTCTCCCTCCATCAAGTGGCCCCAATCAAATTTTAAAAAGCTGGAATCCTACTTGGAGGTATACCTATCTATTATTGGGTACCCTCTTATTAGAGAGGTCCGACATTCAATATAAAATAGCAATTTAAAATAAAAATAAAAAAAGGGGATATGCCCTAACAAAATTTAAAAAATTTTTTTTCAAAGGAAAGCATCATTTTCAATAATAATTTTAGAGAGAAAAAAAATATTCGAAAGAATGATAAAAAAAATTAGTGAGGAAAAAATATTTTAAATTGAGATCACACAGAACGTTGACTTAGAAAAATGGGGAGAAATAAAAAATGTTTTCCGGAAAACTTTCCGGAAAGGTGGCGATAAATGGTTGTTGTATGTACTGGGCAATAGAATGAAAAGGCAGTGATTTTATAGTGTATTTATTGGGGGAAAGAAAAATATTTTTGGAAAAAAATTAAAAAAAATAATTTTTTTTTTCGAAAATTCTGAGGGGTATTAAAATTAAAAAAAAATTTTTTTTAATTTTCCTAATTTTTAAAAATAGCCTAATTTGTGGGTGAATAAATCATGACAAAAATACAACAAAAAAAATTTAAAAAATAAAAATTAAAGAAGAGAGACTCAGCACCGTCATTCTCCATTTGTTTTTATTGTATTTTCATTATTCTGGTATTTTTAAATATTTTTTTAAAGTCTCAAGGTTCACACAAAAGTGAAATAGCCGTCTGATTTGCGCCGCTTTCGAGCACCACCCCTTGTTGGGTTTGCGCTGTCGAAGGCAGGTTTTCTGGAAAATTTAAAACAAATTATTTTTAAAAATGAATCTATATGTACTGCTTCAACTAATTTTTTCAATAACACAAAGTTCAACAAGTTCAAGCAGTACATGTAGATGAACAACAAAAAAACTAATTTTGTGCAAGGAAATGTGCAAAGTTTTATGCCTCATCACACACCGGATAAAATTTGGATTTTATAGAATTTTCTTGGAATTTACAGATTTTTCAAAAATTTAAAATTTTTGGGTAGGTGTGTGTCTGTGCATTCATTCTCCCTTTTCTCCCCCCTCCCTTCTCTCCTCTAAAAAATTTAAAAATAAAAAAAACTAAAAATAAACAGACATTTTAACCATAAAAAAAGATAAAGTGAAAAGATTAAAGTGTGTTATAAACAAAAAATATTGACTAGTACATGTACTGCTTGAAAAACTTTTAAAACTTAAACTGCATTATATTGCCCTCATAACAAGACTTTCACAATTATTTAAACTTGAAAACAAAGTTTTAAGTTTGTTATTTTTCATCAAGTTTGCAAACTTGTTTTTCCAAGTTTATTTTAAAGTTTATTTTCTCTGACATTATTTTTAAGTTTACAAACTTGTTGTTTTAAGTTTATTTTTTCCAACCTTAAAATAAACTTGAAAACAAAGTTTTATTTTGATATGAACTTATTTTCCAACTTGTTTTAAAGTTTATTTTTTTCAACTTTGTTTTTAAGTTTACAAACTTGTTGTTTTTAATTATGTTTTTCTTATTTCAAAGTTTGTGTTGTTTTCATTAAAGTTTAAAATTTGAACATGTTTTTCCAACATTTTACAAATTGTAAAATGTTAATTCCATTTGTAAAACTTAATTAAATTATTAAAAATAAACTTAAAAATAAGAAGGGAAAAATAGGAGAGAAAAGGAAAGGAGACTTAAGAAAAACAAAGAGAGAGAGAATGAATGAACAACACCCACCATAATATATTTTCCTTCAAAGATCCCGGTGGTGGTGATGGCTAGCATGAAAAGCAGCGGCGTGATGGGCAGCAGTTCCAACAAGACTTCCCCCACTAGTTCCTCCATACCTATTCCCGCTGTGATTTTGTCCTAGCAGCCAACTTTTGAAAGAAGCTTCCATTTTTGAGGGGGATTGAGAGACTCCTCCCTCAAACATTTCTATTGGTGATTTTCTAACTCTGTCATTAAATGAATGCCATAATTCAACAATAAGCTCTGTTGCCATAATATCACCAGCATGGGCTTGAAATTTGAAATTTTTTTGGGAAAAATATTTTTTCAAAAGTACCACTAATCATTCTCATACAGAAAACACCATCTGCACCAAGAAATTTGTGTACAAACTTTTTGACAGATTGCCTGTCGGTTGCTAAATCTGTTGCTCTGAGGTATCTCCTGACGAATTTCATATGCTAGGGAAAAAATAAACTTGAATTACAATTGTTTAAAACTTTTTAAAATTAAAGTTGGTAACTTAAAACTTGAATTAATAAAACTTGAACTAAGCGCTTAAAACTTGAATTACAATTTTTAAAACCTAGATTACAATTGTCCATACTCAATAAAATAAAACTTAAATTTATTGCAAACTTAAAGCCTGAATAAATAAACTTGAATTACAATTGTAATAAAATACAAGTTTGCAAACTTAAAACTTGGATTGTAATTCAGGTTTAATTACAACCCAGCAAACTTAAAACTTGAAATAATTAATTAAACTTGAATTTAAACTTGGAAAAATTAAACTTGAATTACAATTTATTGGTTTGCAATATTTAAAACTTGAATTTAATAATTAAACTTGAACAAAGTTTGCAAACTTAAAACTTGAAATAATAAATAAACTTGAATTACAACCCAACTTAATATAATTAAAACTTAATTAAAACCTAAAACTTTTACAATTCTTAAAACTTTAAGTTTACAATTCTCCTTTTATATTCCTTATTACCTGGCCAGGCATAAAAGACATGAGTATCCAATGGCACATAGAAAAGAAAGTGATCTATTGAAAATAAATTTTCTAAAACTATTTTTTGTATTATGCTTACAATAGAGACCATAAAAAACCAGAACCAAAGGAAGAGAAATATTTTTTCGTTAAACATATTAATCATTAGCACACATTGCACCTTTAATTTAAACAACTACTTTCCTCAAAAAATTAATTTAAAACACACCGTATGATGATGGACATTACCTAGAACCCTAACTTCAAAGTCACACATTGTTACTTAAAAATAAAATATTTAAAGAAGAAAACACGAGAGGGAAACCTCTAGGAAAGTTTCCACTAGTTTCCCATTCCCTGCCATGCAATAAATCTTTAAGAATGTGAAAGCCATAAAAAAGATTGTCCGTACTATTAGAATAAAATTAAATTTAATTTTAAAATTTTTAAAAACCCCAAAAAAAGATTTAAAAGGAAAATTTGGAGCACAACATTGGCCAAATAAAGCATTTTAATAAAAACGTAAAGGCAAGTCACGTAGGCGCCCCACCGCCTTCCAAGACAAAAATTGGTGGCATCAGATATCTATGATATTAATTAATTAATTAATTTAATTTTTAATTACTTCACGCTGTAATTCTAAGGTATCCTCCATATGCCCAGAAATGGTACGGACAGTAGCGTGACGAGCGTCAACCTTAAAGAAGTTAAATTTATAATTGTAAAATAATTAAAACTTGAAATACAAATTGTAAAAGAATTAGTTCAGAATTAAAACATTTTACAAATTGTAAAAATAATATTACAACTTTTTACAATTTGTAAAAATAAATTACAACCTTTTACAAATTGTAAAAATAATTAAAACTTTTTTTACAAATTGTAATTTTAAACTTAAAACTTTTTACAACTTGTAAAAATAATATTACAACTTTTTACAAATTGTAGTTTCAGAATTAAATTTCAGAACTTTTTACAAATTGTAAAAATAATTATTTCAGAATTAAAACTTTCTTTTTAATATTTCAGAATAAGTTTATTTATAATTAATTAAATTACAAACATCCATCATCCGCGCATCACACGCCATTTGTGTTAAACTCTGAACATTGATGCCTAAATTAAAAATAAATATTAATTAAAATTATTCTAATCACCACTATGCCAATGTAACAGGCCCCGCCACATAATACAAGGAATGTAAAACATTAACGCCTCCAAGGCCAGTACAAAAGGCACCCATTGATAGTAGGAAACTTGACGGGCCCTGTACCTTGAAAATTTATGGGAGAATAAAAAAATCTTTTTTTCTTTCTAATTTTTATTTCGAAATAATTGGAAAAAAAAAATTAAAAAAAAAATATAAACTCACCGCCTGTCACCATAGTCAAGAGGAAATGCATTGGTAAGAGGTAAATAGTATGTCTAAAAAATATTTAAAAAATTAATTCTGATTTTTAATTATTTTTTAATTTAAATTCTGATTTTAAAATAAAAATATAAGAAAATAAAATACATTTTCCACCCAACAATAATTTTCTGTATATTGCTCCCAAGCGTCAGTAAACTGAGCGGGTACCCAACACTGGATGGGATAGCCTAAAAAATTAAATAAACTTGTTTTTTGATTGAATAGAGCAAAAAACAAATAAAACAAACTTACCAACATACTGTTTTGCTGATACAATTATAGCAAAGGCAAAAATAATGGCAGAAGTGTAGTGATAATTGAGTTTGTCGACTAAAATAATTTTGATTTTTTAAATTCTGATTTTTTAAAGTTTTAATTTACAAATTCTGATTTGTAAATTTGTTTAAAACTTAGATTTGTAATTCTGATTTCTAATTTCAGGTTTAATTCTAATTTAAAAATCAGAATTTGTAAATCCAAGTTTTAGATAAATTACAAATCTCGTAAAATCAGAATTTGTAATTTTAGGTTTATTTTAATTTACAAATTCTGATTTGTAATTCTGATTTTAAGTTTAAGGTTTATTTTTAATTTAAAAATCAGAATTTGTAATTTCAAGTTCAATTTACAAATTCTGGTTTTTTAATTTTACAAATTCTGATTTTTCCCACAATGTTTAAATTTAATTCTGGTTTTAACCTTTTTGTATATTTACAATTGTAATTCTGATTTTAATTTCCAAGTTTATTTTTATTTGTACATTCTGATTTTTTAATCACAATTACAAATTCTGATTTTATTATTGTATTAGGTCGGGTCATAATTAGTGTCGCTTTTTTTCGACTAAATTTTTAGGGGTGTTATTTTACAAATATCTTTTTTTCTTATTAACCAACATAAAGATCTGAATCTACTCTTCATTTTAATACCAGGTTTAGGTATATATGAGTGATATTCATAAAGTTATGATTTTTTGAACTTCGCTACCTCGTAGTGAAATTCTCAAGCATTTGCACCATGAATTATAAATTACCAAAAATGTAAACAAGAAGCAAAAAATCTTAATGATCTAGTCAATGGGATCGTTGTCTATGCTAGACAGCAAGAATAGGGTTCAGGCTTTACGTTGGAGGCCGTATGACTCCCAGAAGCAGACATGGTCGAGGAAGACGGGTGTCATTAAGAAAAACGGTCCTGCTCGGCCAGCTTAGATGAAATCCCGTTATTTCTTCTGCTGAATTATCGAGGGATATCTGCTCTATACATACAGCAACGCTTGACTGAAAAAACGCGGGCTGCGCTTAAGGAGAGTAAATCAAATGCCGCGTGTACTCACATTTCAAAAATGAAACAAACGACACGACATCACCCCCAAAAACGTTTTCTTAGAACTCAGCGTAAAATCATCCGATCTGGATGATCTAAACGGTTTTTTAAATAACATATAGGGCTTATACTAAATCCGAAATATAAAGTCTGTAAATCGTGTCAAACCCCGGAATTCGAATTTCGACTTTTTCGAAAATTTAGACCTTTTTTAATAAAAATTTGAAATTGTGCTCCACTGATAGAGCTTTTGAAGAGCTTTCGAATGACATATTACACTAACTATTATCATCACATATACCTGAGAAAATTCGATTTCCGGTGATTTCGTGAATTTTGATATTTTTGATCAGAACTCCATGAATACCTAACCAAAAATTCTGAAATACTGAGATCCTTTAGAACATAGTCTAACAAATGATTCGAAATAAAAATAAAAAAAATTTTCTGAAAACTTAATTTAAAAACTCCAAAAAATCCAAATTAAAAAAGCGACACTAATTATGACCCGACCTAATATTTTCCTCCTATACTATTCTAATTTAATTCTGGTTTTTAATCTTTTTTTATATTTACAATTGTAATTCTGATTTAAATAAGGTAATAGAAGCCATAAAAATATTTTTAATTCACCAAAATCGTCATCAACACGCGGGTGAAGGCCTTTAAAGATTGCAGCCAAGTAGTAAAGGAGCATGCCGACCGAAAGTGCCGCCTAACAGATTCAAAAGGTGAAAATGAATTAAAAATAGGATGAAATGTTGAATAATATTCATTCAAAAAAGGATATCCTCCTCCTTCTCCCATTGATAAAAAATGTTTGTGGCAAATAAATGGACATTCGATGTATGGATGATGGAAGAAGAAAAGAGAGAAGAGAAGAGATTTTTGAGGGTGAAATAAGTAGAAAGACTATCGAGATTTTATTTTTTTTGTTTAATTTTTTTGACTAAAAAATTAAAAAAAAATTTTTTTTAATGATAATCCTAATTATTTTCCATTCAGAATAATTAATCTTTAATTGAAAATTAAATTTTCTGACCTTCATTTAAAATTGGGAAAAAAACTAGAAAATTAAAGCAATATTTAAAATAAATTTGGACAGAACGGGAAATTACAGGGTCACCAAAAACAAGTTTTATTAAAGAATTTTTATGTTATTTTTTTATTTTTTTTTTAATTTTGATTTTTAATTATGATAAAATTCAAGTGATTTTATAATAAGTTTGTGGGGCGGATGTTTAATGTTCATTCGAAAAATTAAAAATATTTTTTTTAACTTCAAAAAAGGTAGACAACAAAAGAAAATTAAAAATAAAAAAAGCTCAATTTATTATTGAATTTAAAAAATAATTAATTAAAAAATAAAAATGAGGCCCTAGTCATTTAACGAAAAAATAAGAAAATTAATTGAAGAAATTTTGAAGAACACGCAAAAACAAAGAGTAATCTACCCCCAAAAACAACTAGTACATACTTTAAAAGGTCTCTCTCCCTTCTAAATAATTTTTATAAAAAATTAAATTTTATTTCTGTGCCGAAATATGAGCTAAAAATATATTTAAGGGGAAAAGGGAGGGGAAAGCCTCCAAGAAAAAAAAAGAAAAAAAAATTTTCCAAGAAAAAAAAATTTTTTTAAGGAGAAAATCGGGTAAGAGGGAGAGAGGAAAAAATAAAAGGGAGGAGATCTATTTAGAAATAAATAAAAAAATATATTTAGGCGCAGGAAGAACTAAAAAAAGGAGGGAGGGGATTGTCGGAGTGCTTCTTCGGCACACGCACAAAGTGGATTTGGCCGGGCGGAAAGCGAAAAAAGGACGTTGAAAGTGTCCTTTTTCTTCTCTTATTTTTTTCTTCATTCAATCGCTTCTTCTCTCGACTTGTAAAAAAGGGGGGGACTCTAAGTATATATTTTGTTGAAATGGCACAGCTCGTTTATGCGTAACACCGCCCTTTTCTCCCCCCATTAGTCCCCCCGTTATATATAAAATAGTAAAGAATTGAAAAAAAGGAAAAGCAAATGAGAAAAGAAGGGAGGGGATATGTCTCGACACATTGCGCTACTAGACTTTTTTAAAGAAATTTTCTGTTGTATAAAATAGGCTAAAAATGAAACTAAATGAACATGAAAAAAGAAAAGGCAAGAATGTGTATAAAAATGTTTTTAGTAGATGTTTTCCGGAAAAAGTTTATTTTTGTTAAAAACAAGTTTATTTTAGTAAAACAAGTTGGAAAAACAAGTTGAATATTTTTCCGGAAAAGTTTATTAAATAAAAACAAGTTTATTTTTATATATTTTCCGGAAAACATTTCTTTAACACCTTTTCAACTTTTTCCGAAAAACAAGTTTTACAAAACAAGTTTAAATAAAATATTATATATAATTAAATTGTTTTCCGGAAAATTAAATAATTTTCCGGAAAACAGGCTCCTTTATTATTTATTTTAAAGAGTTCTTAAGTTTATTTAAAATGTTTTTATTAAAAGAAAAGTTGGAATAATACAGTAACCCAACAAATTGTTTCAAAAAAGCTTATTAATTTAAGAAACATGAAGCAATATTGTATGAATAAAAATCAAAAAAAATATTTTCTTTAAAAATTAAATTAAGCTAAAAATTGTTTAAAAATATATATATTTTTGCTTCCTTTTCTTTAAGGACTTTTAACAGAAAATAATTTTCAACAAATTGAGTTTTGGCTTTTGCCGTTAAAATAAGAGTTTGTTTTGCATTAAAAATAAATAAATTTTTGCAAAGGAAAGGGTCAAAGTTGCCCATAATTTAATCAAAAAATTTTATATGTACTTTATGGAAATTGATTTTGCTGTCCCAAGAGAGGACAAATTTTATTATTATTTTTATTTTAGAGAGAGGATTGGCTACTAAATTTAAAGAAAAATCCTTCTACGAATGTCCATTTAAGCCCCATTTGAGTACCCAAAAAAATTAAATAATTACCAACCTTCTTCTGCTTTCCCAAATATCCACCACCTCCGCCTCTTGTAGTTCCTCCTAGCCTATGTTCGTTTTGTTTTAAATGTTGATGGTGACGAAGACGAGGGTCCAAAAATGGGAAACGGTCGCATTTTCTATAATGCTATAAAATTGAAATAAAAACTTGAGAAAATAAATAGAGGGAAAAACAAAAATGTTTTTCCGGAAACACGCGAAAATGTAACGAACAAAGAATTAGGGGGATGTTTTTCCGGAAAAGTTTAATTAAAAATGTTTTCAGGAATGTTTAATTTAATTTAATGCAATTTTCCGGAAACTTTTAATAAACAAATATGTTTTTCTTGAAACATAAACTTTCCGGAAAAACTAAATAGAGAAACATGTTTTCCGGAAAACTAGTATTTTAAAACAACAACAAAAACATTCCGGAAAAACTTCTAAACAATGTTTTCCGGCAAAGTTTTGTTATCAGGTTTATTGGAAAAATAAAATAAAGTTGTGGAAAACAACATAGAAAATCTAACCAAATTTTCACCGTAAAATAAACGTTAATTTTCATTTCCCGTCATTCATTTCCCGTTTTTTTCGCTTTCATTTCCTTACAGAAAAATACTAGTATATTACTTTTTTAAGGTAATAAAGTAAATAAAGATGGACATGAATAACGGGGACTCATTGCCCAATCCCTAAGGCATATTTGGTTTTATTGAATTTAAAAAAGGTAAAAGGAGGATTTATGAGGAAAATGAGACTAGGCGTTGACGAAAATAAAGAAGATATGAAATGAGAGAAACTTGACGCCAATTGAAAATGATGGAATAATAAATAATATCGTAGGAGTACTTCAAGTTTATTTAATTAAGGAAAACATAGAAAAAACAAGTTTATTTTAAAATATGTATTAAAAAAGTTTTCCGGAAATGAGATGTTTGGAAGAATAATAAATTGCTTTTAGAAGTTTTCCGGAAAACAAGCTTATTTAAATTATTTACTGGAAACATTTAAACATTCAAACAAACATTCAAACATGAATGTCTGTGAATGTTTGTTTGAATGTTTGAATGAATAATTGAGTGTTGAATGTTTCCAGTAAATAATTTAAATAAGCATGTTTTCCGGAAAATAAATTTCCGGAAAACATGTTTGTTCTATTCAATTATGAGAAGTTATATTCATTCCGGAATACCTTCCGGAAAGTTTATTTTCTCTAGCAAAACATATCTACTCTATTAAAGTTTTCCGGAAAACAAGTTTATTTAAAACATATTGGAATGTTGCGAAAGAATTATATATATATATCAATGTTTAAAATTTGCTATTGTTTTTCCGGAAGATTGAAAATACACCGGAAACAAATTAGTAATTTGTTGTTGGAGGATTGTCTTTTATTTTTTTAAAGAGAAATTTTTTGCTTTCAGAATTTTATTTTTTTTACTTGGCCGAATCGCTAATTGCGCGTTTTGTGTTCTACAAAGGATTTTACTTATTTATTTTGCAAACAAAAATTTTTTCTATCATTTTTTGCTTGTATTAGCCTTAAAAAATGAGAAAACGGGAAGGAAATCGACCGTCACAACAAACAGATTGTGTGGCAGCGCCGCTGGCGCATAAAGTGTGGCAATGGAGCAACTAAAAATAAATATAAAAATACTTTAAGATTGAACGAAAAAAAAGAAAATTTATTTAAAATAATTTTTTGGTAAATAAATAAAGGAAAATAAAAATATAGTTAAATAAACATGTTTTTCGGAAAAGTTTAATGAAACAAATATGTTTTTCCAGAACATAAACATTCCGGAAAGTATATTAAAACAAATTTTCATGAAAAGTGAATAGGAATTTTTTAACTTATTTTTTAAAATTTTTTTAGAAAATGTTTTCCGGAAAAAAAAATTTTTTTAGAAAATGTTTTCCGGAAAAAAAATTTTTTTAGAAAATGTTTTCCGGAAATATATAAACTTTCCGGTTTCCCAGAAAATTATAGCAAAACAAACATGTTTTTCCGGAAACATTATATTATCCAGAAAATATAGAGAATAAACTTTCCGGTAAGGTTAAATAAACAACAACATGTTTTTCCGGAAATGTTTTTCCGGAAAGTTCGGATAGAATAAACATTCCTGAAAACTTTCCGGAAAACATTACTAAAAACATCAAAACAACAACAACATAAAAATACAAAACAAGTTGATTTAAAGAATAAAATGATTCAAACATTTGTGTCTATAAATAAGACGACATATATTCTTCTCTTAAATGCATAAAAATAAACAAATAAATTTAAAAAAAAAAGTAAAAAATCTCTGTAAAATAATAAATGAAAGAAAACTACTTTTTAGCTTTTTTAGCATTCATTTATTTACTAAAAAAATTTTTTTGGCTTTGCAGTTGGCTTAATATACCTCTAAAATATTTGTGGATTAATAGGGCAAAAAAGAAGAATCGTTTTTGGGGGACAGAGGAGGGAATGGGGGCACATATGGAAGGCTTTTTTAACTTTTTGGATGAACACAGGAAGAAGAAAAAAAATTTTTTTTAAAGAAACTGCACAGTTGTGTGTTTCTATAAAATAAATAAAGGAACTTTTAGCAAAAAAAAAGAGGACAGAAATATCTAGAAAATAAATTTATTAAAGAGTTTGGAGGATCAGAAAATGGATTATTGAGGTTAGTAGTTGAAGCTGAAAAAATAAATAAATAAATAAAATAGACAGGAGATAGAAGAAACTTTTTAAAAATAGAAGGGAAAATGGGAATTTAATTTAAGTTAATTTAAATGATTTTCCGGAACAAGTTTGTTTAGAATATTTTTCCGGAAAAATAAAATTAATAAAATGTTTCCGGAACATAGAAAAAACATAAACATAGACAAAAAAAATTTGTTTTTTCCGGAAAACAAGTTTATTTAAACTAATTACAGGAAAATATTAAAAATGTTTTTCCGGAAAGTTTAGAAAACATTATAAAGAAAACAAGTTTATTTAAAAAATAATTTTTCAAAAACAAGTTCATTACAACATGTTTTTACGAGAAAATGTTTTTCCGGAAAAACAGTCTTGTTTAAAACATTACCCAGAAAAATAAACATAATAAATGTTTTTCCGGCAAACAAACAAAAACAAAATGTTCGTTTAAAAATAATAAAGTAATATTTTCCGGAAAACAAGTTTATTTATAATATTCTTTTTTTAATTAAACTTGTTTGGAACAACAAAGTAAAACTTAAGTTTAAAAGCTTAAAACTTGATAATAATAAACAGAACAAAATTAAATAAAAATAAAATATATGTAAAGCTGAAGAAGATATAAAAAAATTTTTTTAGGATAACATTTTTTAAATCAATTGGGAGCGCGGCATCCCTAATATATTATTGAAGAAAAATATCCCATAGCAACAACAAACTAAAAGATTATTAAGAAGAAAAGTGAAAAGGTTGCTGGTTACTTTTAGTACATTTTGAGGCTCTAAATTAGCTGAAAACTGGACTAAATTAAAAACAAAAATTATTTTTTTATTTTTTTTTTATTTAGGTCATTTTTACAATTAGCTGCTTTTAAATTACAATTAATTTTAATTTTGTCAAATAAAAATAAAAAAAATTTTTTTAACAAGCTATTGACTACGAAAATTAATTTTTTATTGTCATTATTACCCTTAAAATAAAATAATTTTATTTTTATTAAAATAAAAATATTAATTATTCTAGTATTTTATGGATTTACTACTGCTCTTATTTTTAATATTATTATATGCGCAAATAATTTATTCAGAATCGGAAAGGGTAGTTACTATCACAAAAAGAAGCAATCCCTCTTCTGAATTTATTATTCGATTTGGTAGGGTTATTAAAAAATTGGAAATAAATTTTTTTCTGAATTTTTGCAGAAATTGCAAGTATGTCAATACAACAACCAATATTATTAAATGATTTAAACTTGTCAAAAAGATTGGAAACAATATGTGCATTGGCGTTAGAGAGGTCGTTAGCTAAGCATCTTTTTGGGTAAGCTTAAATATTAAAAACATTGTTTTAAAAGAATTTACAAATTTAAAAAAAATTGTAAAACATTTGATACAATAAATAAAACTTGAATTACAATTTTTATAAAACTTAAAACTTGAAAAGAAAAAATTGTAAAACAAGTTTAATAAATAAATAAACTTAAGATTGTAAAACTTGAATTTTTTAAAACTTGAATTTTTTAAAACTTGAATTACAATTTGCGAAACTTAAAACTTGAAAAGAGAATTGTAAAACAAGTTTAATAAATAAATAAACTTAAGATTGTAAAACTTGAATTTTTTAAAACTTGAATTTTTTAAAACTTGAATTACAATTTGCGAAACTTAAAACTTGAAAAGAGAATTGTAAAACAAGTTTAATAAATAAACTTGAAACTTGAACTCCTTAAAACTTGAATTTTTATGTTTGTAAACTTGAAAACTTAAAAACTTGAATTTAAAATAAAATTTCAAGAATTTTCAAGAATAAATTCCCAAAAAACTTTTACGGAACTCTTTATACATTTATTATAAAAAAATAAAAATGTCTAGCAATGACGAAAAAATGGATGCCGTGGAAGCATTAAATGACTGGAGGTGGTGGTGGTCATCGACAACGCTAGCTGGCAATAATAATAAAACAACAACAAATATTAGAGAAAATGAGAAAAACGAACAAAAAAATAGTGAAGACAAAGCTTTAGAAAATTCTAAAACTAAATTGGAAATGGCAGCAGAATCTTCCCTTGGTACGCGCCAATTCCGTGTTAGGGTAAGAGAGAAAGGAAAAAAATAAAAAGCCCCGGAGGGGAAAGGAGAAAGAAACAAATAAAATAATGCAAAAAACATTCGAGAGGGAATGAGCTAAATAAAAAATAATAAAAAAAGGGAATTGCAATGCTTTACATATTAAACAAAAATGGATTATTTTTTGGGTAATAACATGGAATTTGGTTGAAAATTTTTAATAATAAATAAAACAATTTTTGGATGATAGAAGAAAAAATAGTACAAAATGAGGGGAAATAAAATTACAATTTAGAAATTACAATTTGTAAAATAAAAACGTTATTAAAAATTGTAAAACTTGAATTTTAAATATCAAACTTGTTTTACAAATTGTAAAATAGGTAAAACTTTAATTAGAATTGTAAAACTTGAAACAAACAACTAAAATTTGAATTACAATTACATTTTCATGTTTAATTAAACTTGAATTTGTAAAAATTGTTTAAGGTTGTAAAATAACATTTTACAATTTGTAAAGCTTGGGTTTAATTCAAGTTTTACAATTTGTAATTTGTAAAAAAATTCTCTTTTGTTTAACGTATTTTATACTTTTTCAGCTGTTAGGAATAGATCGACCTAAGCCTTGGCGCCGTACATTTATCTTAGCTTTTGCCGTTTTTATATTGGAAAGAGCAATTCCTGCTGAGGTAAAAAATATTCTAGAATAATTGTAAAGTTTAAACAAAGGTAATGGTTCAAGATTTATCGTTACTTTCACTTGCCGAAATTTCCGCACATTTACAATTGGCAGTTTTACGTATCGACGGTAAAAATTAAAATCATGAAAAATAATTTAAAAAAAAGTTCAGCCTTAGTAAAAAATGAAATGATTGAACAAACACAATGGTGGCTAATAGGTTTATAGAGGAAAAATAAAAATTAATTTTAAAAAATTTGAGGAATAATTATTGGAACGGGTATTTTAATTATTGGATGTTGCTGGGCAATACTTTTCTTTTGGTTAAATATTTGTGTAAGAAAGGAAAGTTTCCCTCAAGTTGATAGAGTGGAAGCGAAAGAGGAAAATTTGAGATTAGAAGAGGTAAATGAAACATCTTTACAATTTAAATTTAAATAAGAAAAAAGTTTTACAAATTGCAAATTGTAAAACTTTAATTAAAAACAAACTTGTTTTTACAAATTGTAAAAATTACAAATAGAAAAATAAAACTTGGAATTAAACTTGAATTATAAATAAAACATGTTTTACAAATTGTAAATATTTAAAGTTTTACAAATTATAAAAACTAAACTTGTTTTTTACAATTTGTAAAATAGTTAAAACTTGAATTAAAAACAAACTTGTTTTACAAATTGTAAAAATTAGATAAAATTTTTAATTAAACTTAAAATAAACCTGAATTACAAATAAAAGTTAGGTTTTACAAATTGTAAAATGAAACTTAAGTTTTACAATTTGTAAAATAAATAAAACTTTTTTACAAATTGTAATATAAAACTTAAAGCTACTCCTATAAAAATTCAATAATTGTAATACTATAATTACAATTCTATTGTAATATTTAAAATTCAGAGAAATATAACCAATATTTTTCAAAAAATAGTAAATACTATGTATGTTAAAAATAAATGATAGGTAGTGGAACGGCAGACTTCACCTTCTGCTTCACCATTAAATTTATCTCAAAAAGTGGATGAAACAGAAAACATTCCTACTACTATAAACAATCATAAAAGCGGGTAAGTAAAGCAATTTGAGAGTAAAATTTTTTAATTTTAAAATAAATAAATGTTCATAATAGAGCTCAGATTTAAAGATAACTATCACATGAACGCGCGCATTTTTTAAAGAAAATTAGAATGAATTTTTTAAAAATTTTTTTAAAATTAATTAAACTCATATTTCATCCCAAAAAAAAAACATTTTACTAATAAATAAATAAAAATAAAATTAATTTTCCTACCGATGAGCCGTGTCGCATTACAGTGCCGGCTGTGCCGTTTCCATTTTTAGACTTTTTTGCCCACCCATAAAAATGTTGTTAAATGATTTATTTTCGCATTGGAAAGATAGTAGAATTAAATAGAGAAAAATTCATATTAAATTAAATTTAAATCTGAAAAATTAATTAAAACTTTAATTTAAATTTGAATTACAATTTGTAAAATAAATAAGCCTTAAAGTAAAAGCTTAATTAAACTTAAATTACAATTAATAAATATTCAGGTTTATTTTACAAATTGTAATTTATAAAAATTAAAGTTGTAATTAAAGTTTATTTATTTTACAAATTGTGAGTATTGAAAATTACAATTTGTAAAATAAAAACTTTAAATACAACTTGATTAAAACTTGAATTAAACTTGGCGTTTACAAATTACAATTTGTAAAATTAATAAACTCGAAAATTAAATTTATCTAATTTTCAGAAGACAAAATGTTTGTGAAGATGATTTACCTTCTAAAACCTCTTTAAAATCAAAACAAAATTTACAAGAAATAAAAAGAAATATTATTAAAGATACCAGCAATACAATAATAATAAAAAGAAGATTACCAAAAATTTTATTAAAAAGAAAATCTTTGTCGAAAAGCTGGAAATCTTCGCAAAAAAGAAAAATTGTAAAAATTCCAGAAGAAAAAGGTAAGAAAAAAATACTTAAAAATGAAAAAAAATATTGGAAATAAAAAAGCAAGCGAGCCGGAAAAGGCTAAATACCGGATGTCGATTGGCACGAAAATATAAAAACATTTTTATTTTTTGGGGGAAAAAATAATGTAAAAATAAGTTGCAAGAGGAAATGATATGTGAAAAAAGTTTATTTTATAATACTAAGTTTATTTAAAAATAGCCAGCATTTTTGTAAAAGAAACAAGTTTGAGTTTGTAAAACAAGTTTACTTTTGAAAAAAGTTTGATTTTGCAGAGAAGTTTTACAATTTGTAAAACAAGTTTTATTTTTAAAATAAACAAAGTTTGTTTTGTAAAACTTTTTTTACAATTTGCGAAATAATTTTATTTTTGAAAAAAGGTTTATTTTTTAGAACAAGTTTTACAATTTGTAAAACAAGTTTATTTTTAAAATTTATGTATTTGAAAATTAAATAAAATGAGAAAGAAAAATAAGTTTGCAATCTTTATATTATTGAAAAATAAATTTCTATAAATTGTGAGAATTAAAGTTTAACATAAAAAAAGATCAGATTTCAAAGGATCATAATTTTAGAAAAAAATAATTTTATTTTTATTTAAGAGATATATTAAATATTGTAAAGTTGCCATTCTCAAATTATTTTTAAAATAATTTGCAGGTTATTTGAAACCAATTTTTATTTATACTTTTTGATATTTTCAAATAAAGATCAAAAAATTAGAAAAAATATTAAAATTATTTTTTAGTAAAATTATATTTAAAATATTATTTTTTAATGTATTAAAAAAATAAAACTTGTTTTACAATATGTTTCTACAAATTGTAAAATATTCCAACTTGGCCAGGCGGGATTAAGTAAAATTTAAGTTTATTTTTACAAATTCCGGAAACATTAACTAACCATTAAAAATAAACTTGTTTTACAAATTGTAAAATAACAAACTTGAATCTCAAGTTTGTTTAAAGCTAATTTTACAATATTTATTACAAATTGTAAAAACAAACTTGGCCAGGCGGAATTAATTTATGATAAAAAACTTCAAGTTTATTTTTACAAATTCAAGTTTATTTTACGAAATCAAGTTTATTTTTACAAATTCCGGAAACACAATCATTAAAAAATAAACTTGTTTTACAATTTGTAATTATATATTAGGCTAAAACTTGTTTTATACTATTCCTTTCTTTTGGGATAAATAAATTTTATTTTGTTAGTTGTTAATGTTAGCCGGAAGGAGTAGTCGTAATGGGAAGGGTTTGGGGCTCATTACAGTTTTATGTGTTTAAGAAAATTGGGGAGGAAAGGAAGAAGAAATTGGTTTAAAGAAGAAGAAAAAATATTTTTTTTCTCTATTCTTTGTTTTTTTTTATAAAATTCTTCCCCCTTGGGGCCATTGAATTATTTAGAGGGAAAACAATGAAAATAGCTCCAGTCTATTTTTTGGTTAGTAAATTTTTTTTTTCTCGCCTTCCAAAAAATCGAAAAAAAATAGGGAAAAAAGAACAGAAAAGAATAATTAAGATTTAATAAAAGTCTTTTACAGACAGAAAAAAATATATAAAAATTTATTTTTGTTTTCCGGTTTGGAGGAAAAAATTTTGTTGACATGCCATTGTTTTGTTAGTTTTGAATTTTATAAATTGAATGGGAAAATAAGCAGAAAATTGGGGGAGGAAAGCAATTTTTTAGAGTTTTTGTTGCATGACAGGAAGAGAGTTGAAATAAAAGTTTTTTTTTACAATTTTATAAAGTTGAAAAAAAAGTTGGACATAAATTGTAAAAAAAATTAGAGGAAATTGTAAAAATGTTGGGTAAATTGTAAAACAAGTTGAAATTTGTAAAAGGTTGTAAACTTGAAAATAAATAAACTTGGAAAAATACAAATTGTAAAAACTTGAAAATAAACATTTTTACAATTGTAATTTGAATTTGTAAAAAAGTTTTAATAAAATTTATTTGTTTTTAAGTTGTAAATATCGAGCAACAAAAAATTAAAGAAAATAAAAAGGAGGAAGAAGCAAAGCAAACAGCAATTGAAGCACCTCTTACTACACTTCCTCCTCCTGTTGAACTTGAAGAAGCTTTGGGTTAATAATAAATATAATAAATATATTAAATTAGAAATTGAGGGGAAAAATATGAGGGGGAATTTTACGAAATTTAAAAAAATGTAAAACGAAACGAAATTTTTTCGAAACACGAAACTAGAACGTTAGAAAAAATTTTTTCTTTGAAAACAAACAAAAATTAACCAAAAAATTAATCAAAAAATAAAATAAAATCAAAAATAAAATCAAAAAAAAATTTAGAGAAAATAAATAAAAACAACCATCAAATACCACCAACAAATTGGCAAAATTTCCAATTAAATATTAAAAATTACAATTACCAACAACAATACAAAATTAGTAATCGTTTAAAGCCTTATTGGGTAGCTGATAAATTAGAAAATATTTTTGGTATTTATGGTTCCAGTAAAAAAGAAAATCCAAGGCCGGCACCTCCTTCTGAGTATGGAGAAGTGAGGATTGTTGGTGGGGGCATTTGAAGATTAATTAATTAATTAAGCAATAAATTAAATTAATTTTTTTGTGATTTTATGTATTTTTTGATGTAAAATTTAATAAAAAAATAAGGCAAAAAAATTTTTTAAATTACCCCTCAAAAAATTCCAATTTTCCCCTAATTAGTTAAAATGATTATTTTTTAAATTCAAAGATCAAATAAATATAGGCAAAAAATTAATATTAATAAAAAACCAAAAGACCAACTTTCTTTGAAATTGCCTTCATTTCCGGTAAAAATAAAAATAATTTAATAATTCTATTAACAATTAATTGGTGGAAAATGTTGGTGAAAACAATTGAGAAAGACATAAAAACTTAAATAAAATGTGAAAGACAGAAAAATACAAAAGGAAAAACACAAAACAAATAAAACAGAAAAACAATGAAAAATACAAAACCAGAATTATTATTTAAAAGAAAATACAACTTTGTAAAAATCAGAATTAGGTATTTTTAAAAAGAAAACACAAAAGAAATACAGCTCTCCTAAAGACCAGAATTATTAATAAAACCAGAATTATTTTTAGAAAGAAAACACAACGAAAATACAACTTTCATAAAAATCAGAATTATTTTTTAAGACAAAAATACAAAGAAAACACAACTTCCCTAAACACCAGAATTTTTATTAAAACCAGAATTAATTAAAAAAATACACTCCTAAAGACCAGAATTATTTTTTAAACAAAAACACAAAATACAACTTTGTTAAAAATCAGAATTTTTATTAAAAAGAAAACACAAAGAAAACACAATTTTTCCTAACGACCAGAATTATTATTAAAATCAGAATTATTAAAAAAAGAAAAATACAAGGAAAATACAACTTTGTTTTTGTTTTGCTTATTAAAAGAAAATTAAAATGCGCATTTCTAATAACAAACAAAAATAAATTTGGCTAATTTTGGTAGACATTTAAAGCAATTACTAAAATTGTGTGCCGTATAAAATAAAACATTTGTTAAGTATAAAAATATTTTTCTTTCTAATTTTTAGAGTCATTTCCTCCCAAAAACACAATTATTTAAATATCCTTCCCTAGTAAAAATTAAATAATTTTTTTGTTTTATAAATTTTGTTTTAAAAAATAAAAATTGATATCATCCGTGGAAGAATGAATTATCTATTATCTTCAAGTTTTGTATTTTGGTTAACAATTGGTCTAATTTTGGGAGAAAATTCAGCTTATGCTGCAGTAAGTTTAATTATTAAAAAAAATGTTAAATTACAAACTTGAATAAAATAAACTTGAAAAGTACAAACTTAAACAATAAACTTGAAAAAATAAATAAACTTGAATTACAAACTTGAATAATAAAAATCAGAATTCTTATAAACACAAACAGGCGGAATTTCTGATTTTTATTTAAAATCAGAATTTTTACAAAAGAAAACAATCAGAATTTCTGATTAGTAAATAATTACAAACTTGAAAAATACAACATTGAAAGAAATAAACTTGAATTTCAAACTTAAAGAATTCTGAAATTCAAGTAAACTTTAAGTAAACTAAAAGAATCAGAATTTAATAAACTTGGAAAATAAATCAGAAATAAACTTAAAACAAATAAACTTGAATTAAATAAAATCAGAAGGCCTAAATAAACTTGAAGCAAACCAGAAGCAAAATAGACAAACTTGAAACAAAAATATTAACCCTATCTAAATAAAATAAATTAATAGCCATTTGACCCCTATGAGTTTGAAATTCAATCAGCACCAATTATTTATCGACGCTCTCTAATTAACAACTTGCCTATGTTGTCTCCACAAATAGTTGCTCGTCGCAGTGTTCACCCCTGTAGATGGAAGTTGTGTGGTGCTTATAGCAATTATAATACTTTGGGATAATTAAAAAAATAATTACAATCAAAATTTTTTTTCAGAATTTACTTAAAAAATATTATGGTTAATTTTTAAATAAAATCCTTTTTGACTAAAAATTTTTTTTGAAAATTCTGTCGCTTGCCCTTTAAATATATAATATAATGGGAGGAGGAAAAAAATCGTTATTTTAATGGGACCGTTGCACCCAAAGCAAAAATTATACCACTTAACCACATTCAACTTTAACTTGAATTAGGTAAAATAGAAACACCTAAATAATTGGGGATTTTTGGAGGAATTAATTTTAACCGATTTTTGAAAATAAAATAAAAAAAATTTTTTTTGAGAACCTAATAAGCATCTTACTCGAGTCACATATTCAATTAAACATACAATTTTATTACACCAAATATAATTAATATACAACACCATACAAATACAATACAACAAAAATTATGACACAAACAGATGAATATAATACTCGAAAAGGGTAAATATATTTAGGAGGCTTACAACAAGTTTATATATAGTTAGGGATAAGGGTGAATTTTAGAATTAGAGTATCACACAACATTTATTCTTCTCTCATTATTCACACTTCAGTTCTTCCTCTTCCTTCCTTTCTGCCCGTTCAAGTCTCGTTTTTACTTGTATCGAAGCCCAATGAAGATTTGTCGTTGTAGGAAAGGATTTGAGTGCCACCAACAGTCGTCCCCCCTCCAGCAGCCGACATTCCGCTCTTTATTTGTGTACTACCCACAGCACTCTTCCCAGTCTTTGTCTTCGCTGAAGTCCCTCCAGAAGTCCCCTTAGCGCCAGTAGTTCCCACCGTCGTTCCAAAATAGTCAACTTCTACTGGTTGTTGTTCCTCTTCCTTCTTTTCTTCTTTTTTGTGGAACACTAGGAACCAGAGAAGACAGCCAATGATGCTGAGAACACTGAAAATTAAGGAAAATTTTTTTTGAGAATTTTGAAAATTCTTCTTTTCTCAAACTCACATCAAAAAGACGACGACAGTGATGATGACGACAACGACCACATTCGAACTTGAAGCTGGGGAAGGCTCTTCTTCTTCTTCTGGTTCCGTTGTCGTTCTCCTTTTCGGCTTCCTTGTCTTTTTCATGTCTACTATCATTCTTGTTTCACGTCTACTACTATAGACCATTGGAGGTTCGGTCGGCTTTTCTGTAGGAACGAGCAATTTGAAGTGTTTCGTATTCTTAAAGGAATTGAAAAAATGAAGACTCAAAAACAAAAACAACTCACCAATTTAACGTACAAATAGTCACAGTTTGGTCCATCCAGCATTTCATCCTTAAGGGTCTTTCGATCTTCCGTCCTACTCCGTGCCGCTTTCTGTGGTAGCAAGTAGAAGGTGAAGAGATATTTGAATTCCTTGTCTGTGTGGCTCTCATCGGTGATCTCCCACTGTTTGATGTCCCGAAGATATTTTTTGTTCGTTTTGTTGAAGCAGACTGGGTGGCCCTCCCAAAAGTCCAACCATATGTCGCCGATATCCGTCATCCAGGTCTTTGTTTCGTTTCCGATGTCGAGCCTGAGATTAAAGTCTGCAAACAACGTATCAATTTTGAAGAGCTTCTTGTCCTTTTTGCCGTCATGAGTTTTGCCGCCGTCCAAAGTGATGGTCCATACCACAGGCTCGTCAACTGAAATTAAGAAAAATATATTTTGGCATGGAAAATGGATGGTAATGAGTTCCCACCTAGCGTCAACATGGGCATCAAATATTCTCCGTCTCTGGCAAATCCCACCATAAAGTCAGCAACCTTCAAGCAGTAGGGGCCATTACGTTTCGAGCATTCAATTGCATCCCTGCAGTCACTTTCATTGCCTTTACGAGCTTTATCCTTGCCATCCTTGAGAGCTTCAAATTCACCTTCGCCAAGACTGTACGTGAACGGTAACCTGAACAGAAAAGAAAATAAATAAAAACTTGTTTAGCGTTAATTGCAGTTAACTCACATATTATGAGTGGCTAAACACTCAGAATTAGAGTATTTGATGCCAATATTCACATTCAGATGTGTGTCCTTATTGGCAACCAGATCCAAGACGCATCCTTCTTTAGCTGCTCCGTCCTTCTTGTACAAGATCTTTCTGGAAAAAACAAAATTTAGTTTGGTTAAGCTTCAAGTAAGCGTTAAACTCACATCCAGTCTGTGCCATCCCACTCCACATCTTTACACGCCTCTGACAGATTCTTCAATGGAGACAAGTCCGCCTTCTCACTGACCACCACCATGTTACTGCCCAGCTTTGAAATCTTCCCATTCCCGTCCAATTCATGCTTGCCGGCACCGACCTTTGCGCATTGAACCAAGCCTCCAAGTAGAAGAAGAGCAGCAGCAACCAAGTGTAGAGAAGACGAGAGCAGCGACGACGACGAAGGCAACCAAGTGCAGCGACAAAGCTTTGCCATCCTGAGCAAGTTTTGAAGTGAAGAGAAGAAAATGTTGTTTTAGCTGGTGTTGAAGAATGAGGTAAATGATTGTAAATCGGAATGCTTTTATAGTATGATTGGCCGTTATCGGGATCGGCGACAGGATTATCTTGCCTTTGGCTAATTTGAGTCCCTCCTAATTTTCGCTGAGACGTATACTGAGCTCTAGGATCCTGATGCTTTTTTCAACCCAATGGCCTTGGCCTTCTCAGATTCCAAGCCGTTTTTTTAAAAAATCGGCGGCTCCCAGCCGTCGATTTCAGCCTCTTCCACCTTCAGCCTCATGATAAGGAAGGATAATATAAGTTGAAGATTACATTCTAAAAAAGGGTTTCAGACAATACTTTAAAGCATATAGCTATTTAATTCCTAAGTCTATGCAGTAGACGGCGTGGTGTAATGGCACATCAGTCCGGTCTACTGAAGATGCTGGTTCGCTCCCAGCCGCCGATTAACCTTTTGCACTAGCTAAAGGAGAGAAATATGTAGATATAGTCCAGCTATACCCAAAACTACTATACCCAAAAATATCCAAAATATAAAAATCAACAACAAATTTTTTTATATAAAAAATGACCTCATTAGCCCGTCCAGCAGCTGCTTTGTGGCAATAGAAAAAGCGAGGAGAATATTAGTCATTTTACTGAAGATAAAAAATTCTTTAAAGAAGGAAAGGCATTTTTAAACGTTATTCTTTAAGTCAAAATGAGGGAAAAAAGGAAATCACAAAGAAAATCCACACACGGCTTCGAACCTTAACCCTTCCCTTCACAAACTCGTAATTATCCCACTACACCAAAACTAAACTTGACGATAATTTATAAATTCATCCCTTCGAGAACCTAGGAAGCAGAGATGGGTCGGAACAGTCAGAGGTGTCGGAAATCGGAAGAGCCGGAAATCGGAACTGGCTCAAAAGTCGGAACTCGGAAATCAAAATATTCCGACCCACTTCTGCTAGGAAGCAAAGACATTTTTAAGTCAGCAAGTTAACTAAAAAATTAAGACAATTTTATTACACCAAACATAATTAATATACAACACCATACAAATACAATACAACAAAAATTATGACACAAACAAATGAATATAATACTCGAAAAGGGTAAATATATTTAGGAGGCTTACAACAAGTTTATATATAGTTAGGGATAAGGGTGAATTTTAGAATTAGAGTATCACACACAACATTTATTCTTCTCTCATTATTCACACTTCACATCTTCCTCGTTGTCGACGCCGCTGAAGTTTTGCCGCTGTGTTTGGACTTGATTTGAGTGCCACCAACAGTCTTAGTAGTCCCCCCTCCAACAGTCGTCGACATTCCGCTCTTTGCTTGTGTACCGCCCACAGTACTCATCCCAGTCTTTGTCTTCGTTGCAGTCCCTCCAGCAGTCCCTCCGGCAGTTTTCGACGTGCCAAAATAGTCTTCCAATGGTTGTTCTTCCTCCTCCGCCTTTTTGCGGAATACCAAGAACCAGAGAAGGCCACCAATGATGCTGAGAACACTGAAAATTGAGGAAGAAAATTATTTTTGAAAACTGTTTTTTCTCAAACTTACATCAAGAAGACGACGACAGTGATGATGACGACAACGACCGCATTCGAACTTGAAGCTGGGGAAGGCTCTTCTTTTGGTGCTGTTGTTGTCCTTTTTGGCGGCTTTGTCGTTTCCTCAGGTTCAGATGTTGTCGGCGGAGGTTCGGTCGGCTTTTCTCCAGGCACGAGCAATTTGAAGTTTCTGGTGCTCTAAAAAGAATTTACAGAGATTAAGTGGAATTGAGCTCAAACATTAAAACTCACCAATTTGACGTACAAATCGCACTCTGGCCCATTCAGCGTTGTCTTTAAAAGCCTTCTAACGTTCTTTTCGTCCGTCCAACTGCTCCGTGCCGCTTTCTGTGGTAGCAAGTAGAAGGTGAAGAGATGTTTGAATTCCTTGTCTGTGTGGCTCTCATCGGTGATCTCCCACTGTTTGATGGTTCTGAGACGTTTTGGGTCCGTCTTCTTGAAGCAGACTGGATCTTCTTGTGAAAAGTCCAGCCTTTTGTCGACGACATCCGTTTGCCACAATTCCTTCTTGGTGTTGTCGATGGTGAGCTTGAAACTGTAGTCCACAAACATGTCAATTTTTTGGGAAGGCTTTCCATTTGTTCCATCCAAAGTGCTGTACCATATCACGGGCTCGTCAACTGAAAATTTTGGGAAAAAATTTTCTTCGGTTAAAAAAATGAGTTTATACCTAGCGTCAACATGGGCATCAATAAACTATAGGCTCTGGCAAATCCAACCATGAAGTCAGCGACCTTCAAGCAGTAGGGAGCTTTACGATCATAGCATTGACGCTGATCCCTGCAGTCATTGTTTGTGCCTCGTCGATGTCCACTCTCGAAATCCTTGAGCTTCTCAAATTCACCCTCGGCAAGGCTGTACGTGAACGGCAACCTGAAGAAAAAATTTTAGAAGCGCATATTTAGAGCGTTTCCAATGAACTCACATGTTGTTTGGAGTGTACTCAAAATCGTCATGCTTCCCTCCCAGACACACATGATCAGAGTAATTGATGCCAATTCTCACAGAGAGCTTCGTGTCCTTCTTAGCGACCAGATCCAAGACGCATCCTTCTTTAGCCGCTCCTTCCTTCCTGTACAAGATCTTTCTGAAAAATAAAATCAAAATTAGTTCACTACGCTTCACCCAAACGTTTAAAGCAAAACTCACATAAAGTCTGTGCCATCCCACTCCACATCCTTACACGCCTCTGACAGATTCTTCAATGGAGACAAGTCCGCCTTCTCACTGACCACCACCATGTTGCTGCCCAGCTTTGAAATCTTCCCATTCCCGTCCAATTCATGCTTGCCGGCACCGACCTTTGCGCATTGAACCAAGCCTCCAAGTAGAAGAGCAGCAGCAACCAAGTGAAGAGAACACGAGAGCAGCGACGACGACGAAGGCACCCAAGTGCAGCGACAAAGCTTTGCCATCCTGAGCGAGTTTTGAAGTGAAGAGAAGAAAATGTTGTTGTTTTGGTTCGAGTTGAAGAATGGAGGTAAAGAATTGAAAATTATAGAGAGCTTTTATAGTAGAGTGATCAGTCATTTTATTATCCCACTTTTGAATCCCTTATTTTTTGCTGAAACCGATACCGAGACAAGATAAAGACAACGACATTCCCACTATCTGTATTATGTAGCTCTTAAAGCCCGAAGGCCTTATGTTTCAAAAAAAGAGAGAAGGCCGTTAATTGTGCCGCAGAAGAGGTAAGTGGTTATTATTAAATTTTAAAAAATTAAAATTAAAAAAAAATCTGTTGGTTGCCTAATTTTATTAATTAAATTAAAAAATAATTTTCTTCTTTAATTTTCACACAAATAATAATTTTTGTAAGAAAAATTTTGAATATTTTTTAAATGAGGAATGGGGGAGGGATGGAAATTTATTTTATATTAGAGATAAAACCTTAATTGATGAGAGACAAGTGTTTCTGATTTTTTAAAATTAAAACAGAATTTTTACAAAAGTAAAAAGGCGGAATTTCTGATATTTACTTATAATCAAAATAATTAAAATCAGAAGACAGGCGAAAAAAGGCCTAACAGGCGGAATTTTTGATTTAAAAAATAAAAATAATTCTGATTTTTATTTAATTAAATCACAAATTGTAACAGAAATACAATTTCTGATTTTTAATTAAAATCAGAATTTTTACAAAAGAAAACAGGCGGAATTTCTGATTTAAAAAAATTCTGATTTTTATTTAATTATAAAATTCTGATTAAAGTTTTAAATCTCTAATATATAATAGACACAACCATATTTTAAAAAATATATAAGTATTATTATAATAATTTTTTTAAAAGAAAGCCTAAACAAATAAAATATCTCCTATTACCACACAAATTTTAATTTTTCTCCTTTCAACTTCAATTTTTGTAAAAAAATTTCTATTAATTCAGAATATTTGTGTTTTATTTTTAGTCTTCTAAATTGCGGAATGCTGTCTGAAAAAATTTTTTTTTCAATTTTTTTGAATTAAATTAATTTATTAATCTACCTGCATACGTTCATAAAGATCATCAAAATCTTTTTTTATTTTTTCCTCTCCATCAACTATAGGATCCTTTAATTTAAAATTTTTTTAATTAAAAAAAATATTTAAAAAAAAGCACCTTAAATTTCATAGAAGACAATTCATAAATTAATTCATTCATATGATCACGAATAATTGCCCAAGTAATTTTATTGTCAGATTGAGCAGTAGATTCAACTGCATGACGGGCAAAGTCATAAAATGCAATCCTTTATAAATTTGTATTTTGTTAGAAAATAAATAGAAAAAATAAATACAAATCAGAATAAATTAAAGAAAACGTTTAATTTGTGTTACTGATTTAAATAATTCTGATTTTTGTATTTTCTTAAATATCTTTCGCCCTTTGTATTATTTCAACTTATTCTGATTTGAAACAAAAAAAGAGAAAATACAAAAAAAAACACAAAAATCAGAATTATAAAAATCAAAAACACAAAATCAGAATTACTAAAAGAAATAAAATGTTCAAAACAGAAAAACACAAAAATCAGAACTCAATACCTACCAGTATAAAAAAATTCTGATTTGAATAATTAAAAACACACACAAAATCAAAATTATGCAAAAACAAAACACAAAACAAAAATCAGAACTCAACATAAAACACACCAACAAAAATAAATAAAATCAGAACAAACCAAAAACACAAAAACAATTAAAATCAGAACGAACTTACATATTTTTCATCATTCCAACAGTTTTGTAAAACGGACAAAAACGATCATAAGGTGCATAACCATTTTGTTGGAGGAAATCGTCTTTAATAATTTTTGCAACTTCAAGAGTAATTTTGTCAGATTCGGCTAATGAAGCTTTGCCTACGAGTTGGACAATTTCAGAAAGATCTTCTTCCTCCTAAAAATAATTAAAATTCTGATTTTTTTAAAATAATTCTGAATTTAAAAAATTCTGATTTCTGAAAAAGTTTTTTTAAGTATTCTGATTTTAATTCTGATTTTTTGTTAAAATACAGAAATTCTGATTTTTGTATTTTCTAAAAATTCTGATTTTGTATTTTTATAATTATTTCTGGTATGTGTTTTTAATTCAAATCAAAAAATACAAATTAATTACCTGTAAAATTTCTTTGTATTTTGTACGAAGAGGGACAAATTCAGGGAAATTCTTTTCATAATAATCATCTAATGCTCTCATATAATTACTGGAAAAATAATTTATTTATTTAATTTCTCCCCTTATATTTTTTAATTAAATTTAATTAAGAATTTTTAAAAAGGCGTTAACTTGAAAAAAATTTTAAGTTAAAGATGATCAAAAATCAACTCGATAATTTTCCAAAATTATTATAAGGTACATATTTTGTGTTTTATTCGTATAAGAAACTTTGTTTTAGTATATTATGCTAAAACTAGAAACATTATATAGAAATAAATTTAATCGTGTAACAGTTAAAAAAATATTTTTTTAGAAGAAGAGAGAGGAAATAAATAATGTACATACAACCTATTTTAAGGAAAAGATCAGAAAAAAATGTTTTTTCCTTTATTGTAATAATTTTCTAAATTAATTACTATTTAAATCAAAAAAATTTTTCCGTCCTAAAATTAAATGATCACAAATTTTATATTTTATTTTTTTCATAAATTAAAAAAAACTTTTTTCCCTTTCCAAAATATTAAAAAAATTTTCTCAAAAATAACTTCCTCCAAATTTCCAAAATTACAAAAAATAAAAACAGAAAAAAAGTTTTTTAATCAGGAATCTCAAATAAAATTTTTCTTCCAAAATTAAAAATCAAAATTTTTTATTTTAAAAACAAACTCTCTCCTAAAAAATATTACGTCATTTACCCCTTCACAAATAGCCTCTATATAGGACTCTAAAAATTCTTATACAATATAAAATTATTTTTATATTTTTTTGTTGTCAATAGTAACGCATCTTTTAAAGAATGGCATTATATTCTTATATATTTATTGGCCAAAAAATTCTCTCACACATTTAAACACCTCTACCTATATTTATTTACAGCCCCAAAAGTTTTTTTCTTTCACCTTCTTACCCACTTTAAAAAAATTATTTATTTTATCTTTACCTAACTGTTGCACAAAAATATGAATTTGATCACCTTGGTAACCCCTTTATTTCATTTTAAAATTAATTAAAAAAAATTTTTTTAACTCCAAATAAATTAAATATATTGTGTGTGTCTTTTAAAATGATTAATGAAAATTTAAATGAATGAAAAAAAACTTTTAAAAAATTAAAATTCAAAAAAAAATTATTTAAATATTGCAAAGGGTCAGTTGCCTTGAAAAAAATTTTTAAATTAAGCCAGGTCACAATTAACTAATAACACAAATTTAATTGCAAAAAGGATCTTTAATTTATTAAAGATGCTTAAAATTAAAAAACACATTTGAAACTAAAAAATTAAATTATTTAAAAAAATAATTTTAAAAAATTATTTTTTAGAAAACCATAAATTTAAATATGTAGGTAAAAGACACTAGGAAATGATAACACTTATTATTTTTTTCTCTTCCGTATTTTTAAAATTTTAATTATATGTGTAATCCAAATATTTAAAAAGTGAATTACTAAGCTTTACATTTTCCCCTTTTATTTTCACTTTTATTTTTCATTTATTTATTTAAATAAGTCAACCGCTTAACTCTCTTTCCCTCTCTCCATTTTTTCTCGCGCACACAACAAAAATTATTTTATATTATAATTTGAATAAAACAAAAATGTCTTATGAATTTCCCTCGTTTTAAGAAATAAAAAAAGAACAGTCAAGAAAGAAAAAGTAACAAAAAAAACCCTCTAAGATACCTATAAGGCTAACGAGAACAACGCCTACTTACTTAACTAACTCTACTCAATTCTCAGTGCTATATTAACCGTTCCTATGGCAAAAATGCCAATACCGCCTCCACCAACACAAAGCCTCACACAATTGTCAAGAGCTACCACTAATTCTATTGTCAACAGATTATAATTATTATTATTAAAAAAGTTAACGATATCTAACTTCATTTTTAAATAAAAATTGCGACGAATAAAAACGATATTGAGTCAAGTGAAGAAGAAGAAACGTTATCAACTTGTAGTAGTGAGGAAGAATTTGAATTAAAAAAAGAAGACAAAAAGGAAGAGGTACAACAAAGTACTTCACATAAAGGTGAAGAAAACAAATCAGAGGAGAAAAGGGAGGAAGAAAAGGAAGAAGACAAGATTTACAGTCAATTAAGTGAAGAAGAGGAAAAGGAGGAAAAAGTAGAGGAAGAAACTAATTTTGAAGAAAACACGGAAGAGATTGTAAATCTTTTTGAAGATAAGGAAGAGAATATTACTAGTAATTCTTCCGATCAGTTGAGAGAAGAAAGTAAGGAAGAAAATAAGAAAGAAGAGAAAGAAGAGCATTCCAATTCGACTGAAGTTGGGAGCCAACTGAATAAAGAAAAGGAAGAAGGCAAATTAATTGAAGAGAAGAATAACAAGGAAGAAGCCTCCAAAGAGCAACAAGAAGAGCAAACCTTCCAAGAAGCCCCTCCTAAGGAAGAGCAACAAGAAGACTCACAAAAAGAAGAAAAACTCTTCCAAGAAGCCCCTCTCAAAGAATTGAAAGAGGAAGAAACCTCTTCCCAGGAATCCACAAAAAACAACAAAACAAATTTTTCATTCCCCTCAACTTCACCCTCACCTCCTTCAACATCCTCATCTCCATCTTCAACAAAAAAAGCATTATCCCAAAAAACATATCATAAATATTCTTCAGCCTCAACTTTAGGACAAGAAGAATTTTATTCCTCAGAATTATATTTTGATACAATAACAGAAAAGTGGAAACAACAATTATTTTTTGAAGAAGAAAACGAGAAAAGTTATTATTATCCTTTAGATTTTGAATTTGAAGGAAGACAAGGAGGAGCACAATCCCTACCAAGACAACAACAAGGAGAAGAAGAACCCCCTCCTTATTATAACGAGACTTTTGAAGAATTTATTAATAATACAGCTGAATATCCATTACAACAACAATATCAACAATCGTCTAATAGACACTTTGAAATACCTTTTGGAATTTTTGATTTTGATAGTGAAGAAGAAGAACAAGACTTTAATTGTATTAATACTGCAGAAAGAGGGTAAATAAAAATAAAAAATTTTTTATGAGAGAAAAAAATCCTGAAAAAAAATAGAAGAGTAAAGAAGCGAGTATTTTAGTAACAAGAATTAAGAGTTAAAGTAGGAAAAAATTAAAAAAAATTTCTAATATATATGAAATACTTAATAGAAGCCTTAAAAAGCTGCCAAAAAATTACAAAAAATTTGTTTTAAGAAAAAAAATTTTTTTAACATATCGAGAAGCCAACCCGAGGGTATAGAAGCATTAATAGAATAGAAATTTTCTTATAAAATTAAACAATTACAGACATTCCCAAAAAATCTAAATATTTTAAGAAAATTGTCTAGATACATATTAATAACGAGAAAGATCGTGGGAAACCAAAAGTGAGAAAAAGTCGCTAGAAAATTTAATTAACAAGGAAGTAGTTCAAAATTAACAAAAAATTCCTCATCTCAAACACAAGAAAACTAAAAAAATTTTCATTTTTAAGCCAAATAATGGGAAACAATTTTCCTCCACAAACATTAGAAACAATTGCAAGTGTTCAACAACAACAACGTCAACTTAACAATAATAGAGAGAATAATTCCAACACAAATAATTTTGAACATCGCGGAGTAAAAGGAATTTTAGGTGTAACAGCACGTTTAACTGGACTTGTTAGTTTGGCTATACAAACAATTGTTTTAATTTTGGGTTGTTTATTAATTGGAATATTATTTGTACATTGTGGAGGAACCAAATATTTTAATCATGAAGAAAAAAATTCTGATCAAAATCAAAGAGAGGAAAGAGGGGGAAGTATTGTTGGAGATGAACCCTTTTTATTTATAAAATCGTTAAATGATACAGATGAAACAAATTTAAATGAAACAACTTTAGCAGAAGCATTAATATCAGAAGAAAATCAGAATTTAAACAAAACATTGGAAGAAACAAATCAGAATTTAAACAAAACATTGGAAGAAATAACAGAAAAACAAGTTGGAAACAAAGTTGGAAATGTTTGGCTAAATAATTTAACAAAACCAGAAGATATGTTTGATGAAAACAATGTTTTATTAAATGAAACAAACATAGAAGCAAACATGAATGAAACTGTAGCAGACACAAAGGAGATATTAAATGATGATATAAACAATAAAGAAAATCAAGTAAAAATTAATTTAAAAAATTCTAAAAAATAAAAAAAAATTTTTCTTGAAAAGCTAGGCATTAGAAAACATGAAAAAATAAAAATAAAAAAAGATTCAATACAGAATAATACAAAAATATACAAAAAATAGCCTATTTTCGTCAAAAATAGGCTAAAAACGCCAAAAAATAATTTTAAAAAATATCAAAAAATTATTTTTCCCCAAAAATTTTCAGACATTCAATCTTGCCGAACTAGAAACGATAGGGAATGAAATAATTAATCCAAACAAAACACAAGAAGATGACTATACAGACTCTGAAACAGAAGCAACCACAAACCTATTAAATTCTATATCAACACAACAACCAGAAGAACAATCAGAAAATTTATCAAAAAATCAAACAAATAACTTTCAACACGAAGAAAATATAAACAAAAAACAAACATTTTTTGAACAAATAAAACCAATAAAAATAAATTTTGGTAAACGAATTGAATTAGATTTGCTTACAATGGTTAGGGCATTATGTGGAATATATGGAATTGGATGTATTTTATGGTTAATTTCTTTAATTGGATTAACAATTTCGTTAAAATTGGAAATTGCCGATTTAGTTTATTTAAATACTTTTATGTTAGCTAATATTACACTACTTTTGTTAATTAATATTGTTGCTGTTGGAGTTATTATTGTTTTACAGGTAAATTCTGAAATAAATTCTGAAATATTTCTAAAGAATTCTGATTTGTGAAAAATACAAACAGAAAAATACAAATTCTGATATTGAAAAAAATCAAAATAATAAAAGATAACACAAAAAAAATTCTGAAACTCAAAATAAAAAAAATTCTGGTAAAACACAAAAACAAATAAAAATCAGAATTATGAAAAAAACACAAAGAATTCTGAAACACAAAATAAAACAAATTCTGATATTCAAAACAAAAAATCAGAAATTCTGAATAAAAACACAAAAACAAATAAAAATCAGAATTAAAATAGACAAAGAGAACCTATTTAATTTAAAAATTTTCAGACTGAATATCACTGGAAAATGTTAATTACAATTGGTGTTATTGAAGGAGGACTAATTTTGTGTTTTATTTTTAATGTTTTAGCCATTGTGTTTATTGTGATTTGGTATCGTTATATTGATTATATGAATGGAGATGATAAATCGGTAAATTTTAAAATAAAATACAAATAAAATACAAAAATCAGAAAAAAATACAAGAAAAAATACAACTAATTAAAAATCAGAAAATAAAAATACAATAAATAAATATAAAAATCAGAATTTAGAGAATACAGAAAACACAAAGAAATACAAAAAAATCAGAATATCTTTAAAAATACAAAAATCTCCTAATAAATTTAATTTATTTTTAAAGTGTCTCTGCTTGTCTGCAATTACTGGGTGTATTAAAGGACGTAATAATAATCAAAGACAACAATCACAACAAAGACAACAACGTCAACACCCACCCCAAGCTAATTATACAATTCCCGAAGCTACAAGACATCCCCAATTACCCTATATTGATGATTCCCCTCCAATACAACAATTTAGTAATTTTTGAAGGGAAAATAAAGAAGAAAAAATGATGATTTTTAAAAAAAAATATGAAAAAAATGAAAAAAATTAAAAATATATACCCCAAAATATCAAAAAAAAATTAAAAAAAAATTTAAAAAAATATTAGTCACTCAAAAATATTTTTTAAAAAAATTCTTAAAAATTCACTAAAATTTAGTGACCTGTATTAATCATTTTCTTAATGTATCCCTTGTGATCACATTTATTTAATTAATATACTATTTAAATTCTGTGTTACATTTGCTTTTATTCCAAAATTACTAATTTACCCTTCCCTATTTCCTTTTCCCTATTACTATTTATATACGATTTTGTTATTTAATTAAATATCCATGTATAATTATTTTACATTTTTGAATAAAATTTAAAAAATTTTACCTGTAAGATATAAGCCAATTAATTGAAGGAAAATGTTTTCGTTGAGCCAATTTTTTGTCTAATCCCCAAAATACTTGAACAATTCCTAATGTTGCTGTAGTTACTGGATCAGCAAAATCACCTCCGGGAGGTGAAACACTGAAAAAACATTTGAAAATTATTTTTTAATTTTTAGAAATTGCTCATAGAATTCTTACAAAAAATTTTTTTTGTGAAACAAATTAGCTAATTTTGAAGCAAATTCCCCCCTTTTTAAACCAAAAAAATTTTTCCGATTAAAAAATAATAAACTCACGCCCCAACAATAGTAACAGATCCATCTCTATCAGGCGATCCACGACATTTAACTTTCCCAGCCCTTTCATAAAAACTAGCCAATCTAGCAGCTAAATAGGCAGGATAACCAGAATCTGCAGGCATTTCCCCCAAACGACCAGAAATTTCTCTCAAAGCTTCTGCCCAACGAGAAGTTGAATCTGCCATCATTGCAACATTTAAACCCATATCACGGAAATATTCAGCCAACGTGATTCCTATATTTTTTTAATTAAAAAATTTTTTTTCAATTTTTAAGCTGAAAACGAAAAATGTTAACAAAAACAAGTTTGTTTTTGAATATGTACATTGTTCTGGAAAGTGTATATATTCAAAAATAGGGTTGAAGGCCCGTTCAGGCCCGGTCCGAAAGATCGAGTCGGGAATTGAATTTTGGGTAATATTGAACCTGACAGACCCCCTTTTTCCTCTTCAGCTTTTTCCTATAAAATTGCAGGATGGTTAGACTTCTTCCCTACTTCCATCCCAATCTTCTTTTCTTCCATCCAAGGGGGAATAAAACTTAAATTCTTTTGATTGTTTGTAGAAGGCAATTGGAATGGAAGAAAGGAAAAAGTCTGACCATTCTGCAAATATATAGGAAAAAGTTGGAGCGGAAAAAAGGGGGTCTGTCAGGTTCAATATTACCGAATTTTGGCCCGAAAAAGACTTTTGGTCGAGCCGGGCCGAAAAAAGTGACTCGAACGTCGGAATCACGTCTCAAAACCCCAACCCTATTCAAAAACAAACATTTTCTGTTAACAAAAACTTGTTCATTTCAATAAAAACCAAATTATTTATTTATTTTTTCAACCTGTATAAATACTAGCTTCTCTAGCAGCAACAGGCATATTAGAAGTATTAGCTACCAAAGCTGTTCTTTCCATAATTGAGGTTGTTTTTCCATCTACTTCCATTGTTAATTCGGGGAAATCCCGTAATACTTCAGACATTTCATTTCCGCGTTCTCCACAGCCAACATAAATAATTGCGTCAGAATTGCTGTATTTTGATAATGATTGGGAAATTACTGTTTTTCCACAACCAAAAGCTCCTTTAAAAAATTTAATTTGTTTCTAATTAAATTTAAGAGTACAGCCCAACTTACCGCAGAGCTATATTCGTTCAGAATGGTCGAATCCGTGACGCCCTGGTATGGCGAGGCGCATCGAACCATATCGAGGCGCATCGAACCATACCAAGTTGTCCCGGATTCGACAATTTTGAAGCAAGTTACAGCTTTGCGCCGTTATGGCCGCGCGCCGTTTTGGGCGTGTCCCTAAATTTTATTGAAAAAACCTACCAGGTATAGCGGTTGTTCCTCCCTGTACACAAGGGAATAGAGCATCCAAAACCCTTTGACCACACAATAGAGGATAATTGGCAGCCAATTTTTCGGCGACTGGGCGGGGCTGTCTGACAGGCCAAACTTGAAGCATAGAATATTTTTGAACATCTCCAGAAAATTCGATTTCGATGATTTTTTCCTTAAAATAAGAAAAATATTGAAGAGACTCAAATGTCATTTTTTCGTAAATTGTGACAAGTCAGGAAAGCAAAGAAATTTCCATAAAAACTTAAGGAAAGGTTGCAAGGTGTTCGACCTAAAACGGTCGAGACCGGGCCCATTCGATAGAGAATGTCTTTCTAGCAAGGATTATATTTGGAGGGGGAAACATTATGCCAAATTTTGGGAATTCGGAGGGCCAAATCTTATGTTAGCCAGATCAGAAAACGGGCAAAAACGGCTCAAAATCCTCGCTAGAAAGGCACATTCTTTATCGAATGAGAACGGTCTCGAACGTTTTTAGGTCGGACACCTCGCAACCTTTCCTTATAAGGAAAAAGCAACTAACCGTAACATTATAGCTCCCTTTAGGTGCCAAATACTTCAAAGTTCCACAAGCATTTGGAGGCACCATAATCGAGTGTTTAACCAGAGCACTCTCATAGACAATCCCCACAATATCACCACCAGTAACATGATCCCCTGGACGAAGACTTTGTTTTGGAATAAATTCCCACTGTTTTGTGCGACTGAGGGCGTTTGTATTGATTCCTTTAAGAAAAGATTTTTTAAATTTTTTTAAAGAGAAACGAAACCTTTGGGTATGTAAATAGATTGGGTCATCTAAAAATTAATTGAAAAGTTTTTTTTATGAAATTTCACTAAACCTGTGCAATATCGTGTAGAGGACGTTGTATTCCATCAAAAATAGAACCCATAATGCCTGGACCCAATTCTACTGAAAGTGGCTTTCCAGTACGTAAAACAGGATCTCCAATTGTTACAGCAGCTGAAAAAATATTTTTTAAAATTTCTGTACGCAAATGTTGTCCGCAAGTTTCTGTTCAGTGCTAAAACGTCCGTACCAAAAATCTCAACTCGTAACTCATCGAGGCATGAGTGCAAAGTCAAAAATAGGATAAGGGTATGAGGTACGAGCACGCCAAAAACTGAAATTCCCAAGCACTGGTTCTGTCCGCAAATGTTGTCCGCGAAAACATTTTCAGTCCGAAAAAGGGTTTTAGACAAAACGAATTCAAGAAAAAAATTAAAAAACAAACATGTTTCCTCGTATACTTGTATAGTTGCATAATCCCCTTCCAAACGAATAATTTCGCCAACAAGTTCATTATGTCCAACACGGACTAATTCGTACATGGCCGCTCCAGACATCTTTTCGGCCGTTACGACTTAACAAAAAATTTTTTAAATAAAAATTTAAAAAGAACCAGGTCCAGAAACGCCATAAACATAGCCATATTGGGCTTCTTTAACTTCACGAGTAGATGGAGGCATTCCACTTTTTGTTAAAGGTCGAAGAAATAAACGGGTTTTAGGTCTCTAAAATAATTTTAAAAATTAATTGAGATCATTCAAAAAATAATAAAATTGATAAAAAGATAAGAAAGAGTCAGGAAATAATTTATAAATGAGTTACAAAGCAAAAAAATTCAATTTAACCCCGAAGGGGTTCGAACCTTCGACCTAAAAATAACGAAAAACTAGACGTTCCCACTTAACCACAAATTAACGAATAAATTGCAAATTATTTCTAACTCGGTTTTACACAAGTAACTAACAATTAAATGGAAGAACAATGGAATTAATCATCGAGAAATAACAATAAAAATAAAATTTACCCCCAAAATTTGCAAAATAATGACGAGAACAATGTTAGAGATTAAAAACCAAAGACATTAATTTTTACAGAAATTCGTTTCGAAAAATTATATAAAATTTAATTTAATAGAAAAACACAATATACAAGCAAGAACAAGGGTTTGTTTTTGTTTAATAACTTTTGAATGGATGAATGGATTTTTGAAATTTTGGTATCATTTTGTAGGGAATTTATTCCTCTACAAAATACAATAGAAAATAAAATTTTTGAAAATTTTTAAAGCAAAGTTATGTCGAAAAACCTTCAAAAATGACATTTTTCTCGAGTTTTTGGACCATAACTTTTTTTATTTTTTTTGAATAAAATTTATTTTTATATTATTTTATAGCTAATTTAATTCTCTATTTAATAATATCAAAAATTTGAAAAATTATTTTAATTTTTCTCAAGTTAAAATTATTTGACTTGGTCCATGTCTCTTAACTTTCAGAGTGTGTTTTCACACCAAAAAATTTTTAAAAATTTTTTTAAATTTTTTTAAAATTAAATAAACCTACTTTTGTGCTCCCTTCTGACGATTCTCCTTTTTTGGATTGTTTTGAATTTGTTTTTGAAGAATGATTACTAACTTTTGCTTCTTTTGCTTCTTTTTTCACACCCTTTTCTTCTGGCATAGAAAATTAATTTAACACAAAAATTATTATTTTTGTAAAAATTTACTTAAAATTACACACTTTTACAATTTATTTATAAATTATTTTCCTTTTAATTTTTTACCCATTTTATGGCATCACCCTTATATTTTTCCCTTTATTTTCCACCACGTTCACTATTCTTCCACAAAAAACGAATTTCCTTTTTTTATAAAATTTTTTTAAAATTTTTGGTAGTTATGGAAACGCAACATTGTATTATTCTCAATAAAAAAATAATTATTTTTTTATTTTTTATTAATTAAATACCTATTGAAAACCTTAGGGACGTCGTTTATTGCTAGCCAAGTTTATTTAAATTTTATTTGAAAAAATATAATTTTTAAATAAAAAAATTAACAAAAAATCCCCTTTTAAATTTCCAGACATTTTTAAAAGAATTTTAGATTTTTTTAATATTTTATTTACTCACTTAATTTTATTTTTAAATGGATGCTGAAGATATTAGAGAGGAGTTGCTTCAAGTTAAAAAAGTAATTAAAACTTGTTTTCATGAAATATAAAAACACTTAAAATAAATTAAAACTTGTTTTAAAACAAGTTCAGAAACAAGTTGTACAATAATTTAATTAATTATTAAACTTGTTTTAGAAAATAAACTTGTTTGCAAAACATTATGAAAATTAAAAATAAACTTGTTTTTACAACAAGTTGAGAAACATAATTTAACTAATTAAACCTGTTTTTGAACTTACTTATTTTAGTGCAAAACAAGTTTATTTTTAAACCAAGTTTAATTTATATTATTTTACAACTTGTTTCTGAACTTGTTCTAAAACAAGTTTTAAGTTTTGCAAATATCAGAATTAATAAAACTTGTTTTACATTAAAAAATAACCTTGTTCATATTATTCTAAATAATAATTAATTTAAAAAATTTTTCCGGCACACTCCGCCATTCTACGAGAAAATAGTCAATATAGAACCCGGTTAAGAATAGCTGAGCGTGAACGAAATCGACGTGAAGACGAACTTAAACGGCTTTTAACTCTCCCTCAACAAACAAAATCCTTAAATAATAATAAATTGTCTTACTCAACACTATCTGAGAATCGGATAGAAATGATGGCCTTAAAAAGAAAAATTTTACTTTATGAAAGATTGCTTAAAGAAAAAACAAGAGAGAACACGTATGTTTATCTTCAAGTTTTTAAGTTTCTCAAGTTTTTAAGTCTACACTTAAAAATAAACTTGTTTTTAGGTTTTTAAGTTCGAACTTGAATATTCAAGTTTATTTTCAAGCTCGTTAAGTTTTCAAGTTTGAACTTAAATTTTAAAGTTTATTTTCAAGTTCGTCAAGTTTTAAGTTTGAACTTGAATATTCAAGTTTATTTTCAAGTTCGTCAAGTTTTCAGGTTTAAACTTAAAGTTTAATGTTTATTTTCAAGTTTATTTAAAAAATAAACTTATTTTTAAGTTTGATCTTAAATTTCTCGGTTTATTTTCAACTTTTTAAGTTTGTCAAGTTTTCAAGCTTGATCTTTATTTTTTCAAGTTTATTTAGAAAATAAACTTGTTCTCAAGTTTGCAACTTTTTCTAAGTTTGTACCAAGCTTTCAAGTTTCAACATTTTTAGAAAATTATTGGAAGATAAAAAAATTGTAGAAGCATCAGAAACACGTAAATTAACAGAAAAACTGGAGAATGAATGTCAAAGGCTAAGAGTACATTTATCACAATCTGTTCCGGAAACAGAATTTTTAAAAGAAAAGGATCAGTATTTAACAATAATAAATAGATTAATTGATGAAAATATGCATTTACGTCAAGTTGTTGGGAAGTTTGAACATAAGAGAAAAGGTTGGAATTTTTTAAGAAATAATTCTGATATTTAAGTTTATTTATTTTCATAATTCTGATTTTAGACAATAATTCTGATACTTAATAATTCTGCTTCAAGTTTTATTTCTTCATTCTGATTTTATTATTTTTTAGTTTTAGTTATCCTAATAATTCTGATTTCTGTTTTTAAGTTCTGATTCAAGTTTTATTTTGATAATTCTGATTTTATTAAAAATAAAATTCTGATTTTCAAGTTTATTTATTTTAATAATTCTGATTTTAGGTAATAATTCTGATCAAAGTTTTATTTTTAAATTAATTCTGATTTCAAGTTTATTTTAATAATTCTGATCTTAAAATTTATTTAAAATTAATTCTGATTTCTAAGTTTTATTTATCAGAAATTTTTCAAGTTTTATTAATCAGAATTAATCAGAATTTAATAATTCTGCTTCAAGCTTTATTTTTAATTAATTTTTAGAATCAGAAAAGTTGTTAACGGAATTAGGCGGTGGGGAAGCGTTGGTTAGACAATTTAGAACTATGAGTATAAACACTCGGTAAATTAATAAAAATAAATGCTAAAATATTTCTAAATTAATTAAAAATTATTAAATTTATTTTTAAAAATATTTTTGAAATTTTTTCAGATTTTTTTGAATAAAAAAATTTTTTTAAATTATTAAAATTAATTTTAATAAAATTAAAAAAAAATTCTTTAATCTAAAAATAATTTTAGAAAACAGGCAAACTTCTATAAAAAAGCTTTAAATAATTTAATGACAAAAGGCAAGCAATCGCTACAGAGCAGTCGCCGTCGCCCTACTTTAGCCTCCACAACTTCTTCAGTTTCTGGAAAATTAAAAAATCAAAATTTAAATAAATCCCAATCTTCTCTAAATAATTTTAATTTAAGGTAAATTTAAAAAAATTTTGAAAAATATTTTTTAAAATTTTAATAGAAAGGAAATTCCATCCGAACTTAATTTAAAAAATTCCAAACGTCGTGCTTCTTCGTTAGAAAATTCTAAAGCTTCCAAGTCTGTCAATAATGAACCTACAAACTTGAAAAATGTAGAAAATGAAAGTTTGGGGATTTTGTTGGACAGTGAAGGTAACTAAAAAATTAAATAAAATTTTAAAGAAAATTAAAAAAAATTTTTTTAAGGTCCCCCTTCCATCAACAATACCAATTTTAATGAAAAATCCCCTTCAAATCAGCCAACTCCCCAATCCAATCGTTCATTAATTACTTGTGTTAGACGCACACAACGATCAAATTCTGAAAACTCAAAAATAGGATTTCCCAAGAAGGAAGAGTTTGAAGAACAAAATGTGGAGGAAGAAGAAGAAAATGAAAAAAAATCTGATGAGGATTTGGATTTTAAGCATTTTGAAGATTCTGAAGAGGAAGGGGAAGTTGAAGAAGATGAGAAGGAAGGGAAAGAAGATGAGGAGGATGAGGAAGAAGAAGAGGATCGGGATGAAGAGAGTATTCATCAAGTATCTGAAGAGTCGGATGAAAAGGAGATTGAAGACATGGTTGGGGACGGGTATAAATTAAACAAAAAATGGGAGGGGAAGAAATTGAAAGAGAAGGGGCATTTTATTGAAAGGGATTTGTGAAAAATTAATTTTTGAAGATTTTTAATTAAAAATTAATTTTTAAAGGAAAACGAAGAGACCCATTTAAATGCCCTCTACAGACTTATATCCTCACACATATTACGCCAACAAATGTGTAAAGTGAGAGAAGAACGTGATCACTACAGTAAACAAATGGTCGTTGGAATATTACAACAAGAACAACAAAATTATTATTGGTGATATTCAAAAGTTTTTGATTTTACAAATTGTAGTTTATTTAATGTTTTAGAATCCAAGTTTATTTTTAAAAAAGTTTTACAATTTGTAAAATAAATAAATAAACTTTCTTTATTTATTACAAATTGTAAAACTTTTTTTAAATAAACTTGGATTTTAAAGTTTTACAATTTGTAATTTAAATATAAAAAGTTTATTTAAACAAAAAAGTTTTATTTACAAATTGTAAAGTTTATTTAAGGTTTTACAATCCAACTTTATTTTTAAAAAAAAGTTTTACAATCCAAGTTTATTTTAAAAAAAGTTTTACAATTTGTAAAATAAATAAATAAACTTTCTTTATTTATTACAAATTGTAAAACTTTATTTATTTAAATAAACTTGGATTTTAAAGTTTTACAATTTGTTTAAATATAAAAAGTTTATTTAAAAAAAGTTTTATTTACAAATTGTAAAGTTTATTTAAGGTTTTACAATCCAAGTTTATTTAAATAAAAAAGTTTTACAATTTGTAGTTTAATTTAATTTAAGTTTTACAAACCAAGTTTATTTAAATAAATTTGAGCAAATAAGTTTTACAATTTGTAATTAAACAAGTTTTTACACTTCCTTATTTTTTACAAATTGTAGTTTATATTAAACAAAGAATTTTACAATTTGTACTTTAATAAAAAGATTTTTAAAATTTTTATTTAATTATTCTATAATAAATTCCCCATTAACTATAATAAATGTTAAAAATACTAAAACTATTAAATGTCCATCACTGATAATTTTATTTTAATTTTACTGATAAATTGCAAAAACTATTATGATTATTTTTGTTACTAACCACCACACATTTACCTGTTGAACCACACATTTAAACAAAAATAAATTTGGTCATTCTATAATTAAATTATTAAAAATATTTTAAAAACAATGAAATTAATTTTAACAAAATTTACAACAATTTTATTTTCATTATTATTTATTAATGAATCCTCCTCTAGTGCAATACGTAATTTGCGTTCTCACTATGATGCTGGAACCGATACAATATTAGTTGATTGGGAGTGGGATGAGCTAAGTGGAGGATTGGGCAGGCAACAACTTGAAGGTGTAGAGAGGGAATTCTGATTTTATTCTGAATTTTATTCTGATTTTAAATTCTGATTCTATTCTGATTTTATTTCAATATTCTGATTCATAATTCTGATTTTCTGTTAATTCTGGTTTTTATTTCTGATTAATTCTGATACAAATTCTGATATTTCCTAACCTTCTGATTTTTTAAAATTTAAATTCTGATTTTAATTCTGATAATTTCTACACCAGACTACGAAATATTTGTACGCTACAAAGTTTCAAGACAGGGCCAAAATGAAGATGAATGGAGACGAGTTGAAGCAGAAGAGGATGGACTTGGTGCTCGCATTCCTCTTGGACGATTATCGTTGAGTGATGGGGATGAGGTGATGACTCAGGTATTTGTGTAATTTTCTGATTTCTAAAAATTCTGATTTTTATTCTGATTTTTTTTCTGGGGTTTTTTCTGATTTTATTTTAATTCTGATTTTTTCTGATTTTTTAACCTAAATTTCTGATTTTTGAATTTATTCTGATTTTAAAAAATATTTAAAATTATGCAAGGCTGATTCCCTTTCCAGCTTTTTATTGCGGTTCAGGTACTAGCAGAGCCACTAACTCCTCCTGAAACTGGAAGCAGCGCTTCGTTGAAGCAGCACAGTGAACCTCTTGTTGTTTGGATTGCTAGGCGTCAGAGTAATTCTGATGGGAATTCTGACGGATATTCTGATTTTGATGGGAATTCTGATGGGAATTCTGACGGATATTCTGATTTTGATGGGAATTCTGATGGGAATTCTGGTGGAAATTCTTATTTTTCCTCAAATTCTGAAAAAAATTCTGAGAAAAATTCTGATAAAAATTCTGATCAAAATTCTGATTTTTCTTCAAATTCCAATTTTGAACTTCCCAAAAATCCTCCACCTACAGCAGAAGAAATTCTCCCTCCCTACAATTTTACTGCAAATATTCTTGGCCCCACACAAGTAAAATTGGAGTGGAAAACACCTCCAAGATCTTCAGATACAACAGAGCCTTATTACTTTTATATTATTAATGTTAGACAAATAAGTGCAAATGATCGTAGTGGAAGGAAGTTTGCTCCACTGCAAGTAAACTTCAGTTTATTTGACATAACTCAAGAAATATTTGGCCGATTGAAATAAACTTGGTATTATTGGATAGAGAATTAAATTTGCTACAAAATAAAATTTATTGAAAAATATTCTTTCAAAATCCTTTGAGATAATCATTAAAATCTTCAAATTCTATCAAAAAATGTTAGTTTTTTGACCATAACTTTTTACCAGAATAATCAAAAATTCTGATTTTTTCAAATTTTGTAGAGAATTTAATTCTCTATCGAATGATAACAAATCCATTCCAAACGGTCAATTGCTTCTTGAGTTATGAGCCGAGATGTCACTCAACATCGACACCCCCAAAAAACCAAAAAATACATATTCTTTAAAAATTAATTTTCTAGATTCGTGTGGACAAAACAAATTTCCTATTAGGCCATTTAATACCAGGAGAGAGGTATGAAATTACTCTTAGGAGTGCAACAAGTTCTGATCGTATTTCCTCTGCCGCAGCAATTGTTGAAATTGCCTTACCGAAGGGTACCAAATTAAAAAAAATGAACAAATTCTACTCAAAAATTAATTTTTAAAGAGGATGAGGGTGCTTTAATGGACGTTGGGAATTTATTGGTAACTTCCAGATTTATGCATGATGGTCGAGGAGTTGTTAATCTTACATGGGAAGTGCCTCCACAATTAATAGGGAAGATAAAATGTAAGGGGAGGGATATTTCTTTTTAAAATCACAAAAAATATAGAAGCTTTTAAATAAAACTTGTTTTAAATAAACTTAAGTTTAAGCTTAAGTTTTATTTAATAAACTTAAGTGAACATATTAGAAAAACAAGCAAACAAGTTTATTTAATTTATTAAATCTTACAGCTTTTTAAACTCACAAAGTATCTGATTGTTTAAAAAGCTACTATTTATATTTTTATTTACTAAAAAGTAAAAAAATTTTCTTAGCTTATGAGATGCGTTATATAGAAGCTAGTAATGCCCAAAGCGGAATAGAACGGTGGGAACACCTCCATTTTCCCGGAGAAGCACCTCAAGCTCAACTTTATAGCATGAAACCGTTGGTTATTTGAATAAAAAAAATTTAAAAAAATTATTTAGAGACACAGAATATTTAATAAGAATTCGGACTTTATTAATTTCTGGTTTGCAAGTGGAAAGCGGCGAGTTCCGCATTCATACACCACGCATAAAAGAGCCTACCCCTTTGGCAAGGCTTGATGTTTTGTATTCAAGTGAGCAACCTACTGTGCGTTTACAATGGACGTTAGCCCCGTATGTATTAAATAAAATATTTAATTGCAAATTGTAAAATGGAAACTTGGAAATTGTAAAATTGTAAAAACTTGGAAAATAAAGAAAAATAAACCTAGAGTAGATAGAATTGTAATTTTAAATAAAAATTGTAATTTTAAATATAAATGTAAAACTTGAATTATAAAAGAGGGAAAATAAACTTGAAATAAAATTGTAAAAAAAATAAACTTGAATTGTAAAAAAGAGATAAACTTGGGGAAAAATTGTAAAATAAATAAAAAAATATTAAAAGGAAAATAAGCTTGCAACAAATATTAATTAATAATTATATATTTATTTACAAAATAGACATATTCACTCATCAGAAATTAACGGATACGATTTGAGAATAACCGACCGTTATGATTTACCGGAAAGTGAGGTAGAATCAAACTGCTATAAATTAAAATTAATTAAAATTTCCTAGTGGCGCTATCACCGAGTTAGTGGCTATTCACCACAATTTGCTTTGGATAACCTTCGACCTTACACAACCTATTTTGTTCGTGTAGATATTCGTAAAAATAATGGGGATGTTTTAAAAGGAAATACAATTTATCGGTTTACAACTTTGGGTAGGTTTTAAATGAGATTGTAAAAAATAAACTTGGAATTAAGTAGGAGAATAAATAAACTTGAATTTGTAAAAAATAAATAAACTTGAATTTTAAAAAATAAACTTAAATTACAACTGTGAAATAAAATAAACTTGGATTATAAAAATAAACTTGAAATTGTAAAATAAATAAACTTGGATTTAATTAAAAATAAACAAATACAATTGTAAAGGAAAATAAACTTGAATTGTAAAAATTAAAAAATAATAAACTTGAAAGTGTAATTGTAAAATAAATAAACTTGAATTTAATTAAAAATAAAATAAACTTAATATTACAATTGTAAATATATAAACTTTTAAATTTTCAGCAAATTTACCAGTCATTCCAAACGAAAACTTTGTAGACAAAGGCAGTGAAGTACAGCCTTTAGCATTTGAACAAATTGACAGTGGACGAGTTAAAATAATTTGGGAGTTTCCCAGCACCGTTGTAAATGCTGCTAAAGGCTATTTTAAGCTTTTTTAATTTTTTAAAAATTATTTTTAGGTGTTACTATTTATTTTAGGTATTTTTAAATTTTATTTTTTAATTTCAATTAACTAGTGATAATCCTAACGAGCCTATGGAAAGGTGGCAACGAGTTTTAGTTGAAAATATCGAGTCTGTGAGTTAAAAATAATCTTAAAAATTTATTTAATAATCAAAAACAGCGTTCTACAATACTGGCAGGCCTTCAAGAAAATATTTTGTATAATATCCAAATAGTCCCGAACAGTAGAGAAGATGGGAGACCAATGTGGGAACATTCCAAAAGAATGCAAATCAGGTCGACTTCAACTTTGAAAAATAAACTTGAAAGAGAAAGGAATGAAAATAGTGAGGAAAAAGAAGAGGAGGATGATATTTAATAAATTGTAATAAAATAAACTTTAAAAATACAATTGTAAAAATAAATAAACTTGGATTATATTTGTAAAAA